CCCTTAAGTCATATACACTGTTACATACCAATGGTATTTTAATTAAAAATATATATATATATATAAAGGAACAACCAAAAACTGGTTCCAGTTGATAATGGTTAAATAGTAATGTGGGTCTGATACCCGATCTTTTGGTTCTATCAACTAAGAGAAGTACCTTTGTTTATGTAAAAATTCTATTAATTAAAAAAAAATGAAACAGACAAACGAAATCTAGCTGTAGAACAGACACAGGTGTACGTACAGAAAGAAACTATCAGTGATTTTTGTTTATTCATGACTATTTTCTGGTACGGCTTTCTTACCTTTTAGGTTTTGCTCCCAGTATATATATTAATAATCATAGTTCTAAACTTTCTGACAGTTGGAAAGGTCTAATTGTGCTATACAATAATTTCTAGGGATCTTACGTTATTCGGCAGGGTCACATCAGACAGAACCTCAGATTCGGCATCGATGATGTGATATCCATCTGCTGAGCTGAAGAAAATCTTTAGTCTTTTCTCAGAACCAATAGCCAGGTCAACTGTCACTGGCTTATGACCAACTGTTGGAAACACCTGTAGATATAAAACCAAATATGGCCAAAAGGCCAAAATGACACTCCAAGGCAAAAACTGCCCTTTCCTTTTGCTCAATGGGCTTATAACAACCCAGTCTGATTTTTTAAATTACATAATATATTGAGAGACTGTGTATTACCACTTCTTTTTTAGATCTGCGACTATAAGAATATGCTTCTCTTCAAAGGCCAAATCACCAATGATCACAACAGCTACATATGGACCTGCACTCCATCTGTTATCTTTAAATAGCTTGCCTTGAGCTTCAGCAAATGAAGGAGCTCATCTGGTCTCTTAAACCGGTTTGCTGGATCAGCTGCCTGTATTTTTGCCAGTATTCGTATATAGGCTTCATAGGACATGTAGTCTCCTTCGGAGTCTGCTGATTGATCAATGCATACTTGGTAGGGAATGAAAAAGGCCAGACATGTTAACCTACCATACACTGGATGTATTCTAGGCTTCTATGGTTCCTAGTCCAAGGAAACAAAAAGCCAAACAGGATTCATTGTCAAGGTCAGGTCACAGTAGAGGACGGGGCATCACAGGAGTCACCATACTGTAGTCATGAAGTGGAATTCAAGAACTGGAGTGAGGACTTGGACCAGGAACTTTCTGGTATCAGGCTAGACAGAATGCTGGTACTTATCTTCTTTGCTTTCCAGCTCCATACCAGGCAACCCTGACCAATCAGCAGACACCCAAGAACAAACCCATATCCAAATACTGACAACTGACCCAAGGCCCAATTTAGGGAGATCAGATCAGGGGTGTGGTTTATGTCAGCACAGACCTAGGCTGTCTGCATAGTAGTCGGATCTCCATAAAATGATAAATGTATTGTGCAAATATACATTAAGGAGCAGTCTTAGAATCAGCTGACCTTTATTGTATATATGTAATATTTTAGCTTAAGAAAATATTACCAGGTGAACAGTTTCTGATCTAAGATACAGAAATATTTTATGAACATCTTGCTGGAGTCCCCGTGATATATCCCTATTAGTGACTTGTGAACACTTGTCTACAAACCATCTGGTAGTAAATCACCTGGAACATTTGCTAAAAATACAGATTTCCAGACCCCACTCCAGACCTGCCAACTTAGCCTGGGGGTGGGTCTGAGATCTAAACTTTTAATAAAAGCTCCAGATGATTCTAACGTACATTCCAGATTAGGAGTTATGGACTTTATATCATGCTTCCAGTTAATCAATCAGCCAACATTACTGTGGAAGAGACACAAAATAATCCTTCTTATGTGTGGGATTATGTGATATTATGAAAAGATAATAAACATAAAAGGGTCCCAAGTTTATGAGGTGTGATTAAAAGCCATCAATACCTTAATTGTTTGGGACACTGAATGGTTACCTTAATGAAGCTGATCCATAGAAGTTCAGTTAAACCATAATAAAGGTGGAAATAGTACTGGTAATCCAAATAAGCCTAACCACCATTTCTTGCAATAGTTCTAGAGAAAAACGTGTTTAGAGTTCCAGCTTGGAAGGAATACAGATGCAGCCCTTTCCTCCCCACCCCCATCTCTTATAACCCTAATAACCAGAGCAAAGGCTTTCTCTTCTCTCTTACCTCTTCCTTCATTCTCCATTTGGTTTCTTCCTCTACCACTTTCACACATTTTCTTAGCTTCCCTCTGCTCTCCACCCTCCCCCAACTAAGAGAGAGTAAGAAATTTCTCGGATTCAAGTCACTGGGGTGGCACCCAACGCCTGTGCTTAGGGTTCTGGAAGAGAAGGTGTATGTCAACTACAGGAATTGGGAGTGAGTGTTTGGTGGGGAAGTCCTCTTGGGGGAATGGTTCAGGTAGTTCCCTCACATTCTCTTTTGTGAAGCTGGTGAATTGTCTAAAAACAGGTTAAATGATAATTATTGAGATGATTTATGCAAATTACATTAACTGCAAAAGAATGCCACATATGTAAGTGTTCCTATATTCCAAAACACTATTCTGTTTAAATTTCTCAAGAGAAAGCCATATGACATAAATGAAAAGGAGAATACGTACTTTAATAGCAGTGCTCTCATCAAAGGACTTTGGTGCCCATGCATAAAGGTGAATTGATGATTTCAAAGCAATAGCAATGTAGGTTGTTTCTTCATGTTGGACTACAATGACAAAATGCAAAGCAACAATGTCACAGAGTTAATAAGAACACTCAACTATAGATATATAGTTGAAAATATAATATTCAGAGTATAATAAGAGCATCGATTTTTGTTTTTAGAAAAGCTATATTTACAATATGAGTCCCCCAAAAGGCAAAAAAAAAAAGTGTTTTACAGAGTGTATGCATTAGCTTTCAAAATAACTATAAATTGTACAATGAAAATATAGTGTTTTGCTGAAAAGTTGATGAAGACCTATAAACATATAAATGAACATTAAGATAGCAATAATATGCAAAATGGATCTACGGATTCAGTGAATCCCTGAAACCCCAATGGCTTCTAATTAAGGAATGAAAATTGATCAAAGACTTAAATGTGAGAACTGAAACTATGAAACCCTTTGATGTAAATATAAGAATAAATCTTATGGCAGTAATTATATTTGACACCAAAGACACACACAATAAAAGAAAAAATAGATAAATTTGTTTTCATCAAAACTGAAACTTCTTTGCATTAAACTTCTTGGACACTATCAAAAATCAAAAAGAACGCATGGAATGGGAGAAAATATTTTCAAATCATTTACGTGGTAAGGGTCTAGTATCCAGAATAAATAAAGAATGCTTGTAATCTAACAACCTAAAGATAAGAAAACCATGGAAAGTACACAAATGGTCAGGAAACAGTTGCAAAGATATACAATAATATTAGTCCACAGGTAAATGCAAATCAAAACTACAATGAGATGCCACTCGATATATACTTGTATGTCTAGAATCAAAAGACAGACATCTCCAAGTGTTGGCAAAGATGAAGAGAAAATGTAGCCCTGATATTTATAGTAATGTAAAAATGGTGCATCCACTTTGAAAAACAGTTTATCTGAAAAAAGAAAATGTGTGTTCTTATATACAAATACATGTACAAAATGTTTATAACAGCATTATTCCTAATAGTGAAAAAGTGGAAAGAATGCAGGTGTATACACAATACATGTATAAAAAATGGATAAACAAAAGGTAGTATGTCAATGTAATGCAATGCTAATGGGCAATAGAGAGAACGTACTGATACAGGTTTGTACATGCTACAACATGAATGAACCTTGAAAATATTATGCTAAGTGGTATAAATCTGTCACAAAGGACCTTGTAATGCATAATTTCATTTAAATTATCCAGAGATATACAGCAAAAGAAAGTATATTTGTGGTTACTTAGGACTGTATGGGGAATTAAGGTGAATAGAGAAGGGATGGAATGTGGAGTGACTAATAGTAACTATGGGTTTTTTTTTTAAAGATTTATTTATTTATTGCATACAGAACTGGGGTACAGGCCAGAGGTGCAGGGGTGGTGAGAAGATTCACCAGAGACAGAGTGGGGAGAATAGGAAGATAAACGAAGTACACTGCTGAGGGGAGCAATGGGAGGGTCAGAAGAGGTCTGCCGTGCCATGCGGGTCACGCACACACACACCCCCCCCCCGCCAGCTAGGGCTCAAACTCGTGAGGTGGCTGCATCTAGCTTCATAGTGCTGTACTTTAACCCACTGCGCCACCAGAGAGGGCCCACTATGGGTTTTATTTGGAGGGATGATGACAGATCACTGTGGTAGTTATACAACTCTCCCTCTACAACACCAAAAGCCTTTTAATTGTACACTTTGGAATCACTGTATGGCAAGTACATTTTTTTTTCAACAAAGCTATTTTTTAAGAGTAAAGATATATTAAAAAGTATATGCCAGCTCAAGGCTAAACCTAGTTTTTATGGAATATGTGTCCTGCCTGCTAGATTTACAATTTGTGCTAGAAGCCCTTTTCCTTGGCTGGGACATTGCTTCTGTCCTCTCTAGTTAGACTTCATCAATGACCAATAGATAAGACTTTTCTCTCTCTCATATCTCTGTCCCCTTACTTAGCTTACTCATTCTTTTTCTTTTGCACTATTCCCAAGTTGTTCCGAGGAAGATGATTAATAAAAAAATCCCCAAAATGGAATTCTCTGTTAAGAAAACACTATCTTTTATTTTAATATATATCAGTAATTGGTATCGGTCTATTTGGTTGTGGAATCTTGGAAGGCTATAGACATACCATGCAAGTATGAGAACATCACTGTTCCACCAGTTAGTAGGACAAGTGCATTGTTTTTATCACTGGGGCTAGGGTGGATTCAGATGGGGTCAGTCAGGACAACCAGACTTAACTAGACCCTCCACTTTACCAAGAGTACAGATTGGCAAGATGGCCATCTTTGTAAATCCTTTTTTACTGAACTGATTGAAGTCAGTAGGACACTGTTCTGCTATAAAATCTTCTCAGTTAACACCTAAGAATGTCTGTCACCTCTGGATACCAAGTAGTAGTGATACATAAAACTAAAACAAAACAAAACAAAACCAGCATGTTTAATGCCCAAGTTGTCAGATCTCGCTTTGATGGCATATGTGTGTATATGCACAGTTTATAAACCTATCCTGGGACAGTCTTTTATAAATAGTATGTAAATGGTCAGTCGGGACGTAAGTATACTGCTGTAACCAAGAGTGTGGGATCCAGCTAGCTCACACAGGCCATGAATTCTGTCTGAAGGGGCAATTAGTGAATAGGAGAGAAGCCAAAAGAAGGGATTTGCTTCTGAACTAGAAAAGGCTCACATAGTACTATTTCCCAGCTGTTGACAGCTGACAGCAGGATTCTGAGACCCTGGAGTTTTTACTCCATTTCACAGTTGTGAAAATACTCTAATCAGACAGGAAGTATTTAGCAATGATACTCATGAGTATCAACAAGCTGAGCCAGATTCTGCAAATCATAAAATAATATATTTTTGATTAGTTGTAAGTTTCCTGGTCAGTATTAAAAGGGATATATGCTCATTTAAAAAATGGGGGAATCGGCCCTCCCTGGTGGTGCAGCGGGTTAAAGCACAGCACTGAGAAGCTAAAGCCACTTCAGCATGAGTTCGATTCCCGCCTGCCCCGGAGGTGACCACATGGCGTGGCAGACCTCTCCTGACTGGCCCGCTGCTCCCCTCAGCAGTGTACTTCGTCAATCTGCCTGTTCTGCTCCCCACTCTGTCTCTGGTGAAGCCTCTCACCGCCCCTGAGCCTCTGGCCTGTACCCCAGTTCTGTATGCACAAACAAATAAATTTTAAAAAAATGGGGGAATTGTTACATGATTATATCTAATTGCTATGCCAAAGAAAGATGATAGCATATGAATCTCCTGGTAAGTTACTGAAGCTATTCTAAGAACATTTATAATGTTTAAGTTTATAGAAGCATATAGATTATTTGTTCATCTTTTATATTAGAGTGACTGGGAATGGAAAAAAGAGGCGAGAAGGTAAACTAAATATAACCTCAATATCTTTTCAGCCAACAAATATTATCTAAGTAACAGACATGATGGAGGCATGAAAAATGTCTCAATGAAATGTACTCATTCTTGCACATGAAGTAAATCCTTTCCTTCCTCTACTCTGCATTTCACAACCACGTGCTTGACACACGGAGGGGAGTAAATGTTCCGTAGTAAACATGAAGTGAGACTTACGGACACTGAAGTGCTCACAGCCAGTCAACTTATCAATAGCTTTGCAGGCTTCCTCTGTCTTTAGCATTTCCTCCTGTCTTCTTTTACTTTCTGGATCATCATTCAAAATCTTGTTCCTCAGCCAGGTCAAGTGATACACCCGAAGTCTGTTCTTATGGCCTGAGAGATTAAAGAACAACAAAAACAAAAACAAAAAACAACAACAAATATAGTGTGTTTTTATTCAGTCTATTTTTCTCACCTATTAAAAGAACAGAAAAGTGAATTTCTTTGGCCTTTTTAACAATATGTTTTCATTAAAATAAAAAGCACTTTGAAAAAGGGCATTGGATCAGAGTCTTTCCTTTGGAGTTTGGAAATCTGATGGCAAAGTCTCTTGACCTCTCACTTTCAAGAGCCAAAGTGCCTAGCAGCTATCTATTTCTTTGGGACAGTTTAAGACTGTCATTGTGCAGGCAACAGAATTACCATTCATTTGCACCTTGTAGCTTCTATCTAATTCATGACCCTTGTGAGATTCAGAGCCACAGAGCCATCCTGCTTGGGAGTATGAATGAGAGGAAGGTGCAAAGTCTGGACCATCATTAAGGGGCAGTGTGGGGTGCTGTTTTCTTTTGGCTTACTTACAAAATAATTGACTAGTTTTATTATGTTTTTTCTCAACCCACTCTTATTACAAGCCCTGTCAATAGGTGCTTATGATAAGACTGTGCCAGCGACAAGAGAGTCTCACTTTACCTAATTATTGTACACTTATATCAAGTGGTCGTGTGGGCTGTGATGTTATAGGTGCTTATTACAGAGAACAATAACATAGCATTTCTTCTAACTGAGCTGGGTTAGGTGCATTACACACAGATACAGACACCGAAAGAGGGTCTGAGTTTAAACTGTAAATAGATAAGAAAATATGGAAAGGAAAGTCTGGTGACCCAATTAAAGGTTATATTTAAAGTGCTTTCCTATGAATTCTTTCACCTGGGAAAATCTTTAACCCAGTTTGCAACCTAATTAATCTGCATAATTGCTCAGCTAATTTTAGTTCTCAGACAAACCGGAGATGGTAATCAGCAAATTGAGTGGCTCTACAACTTGAATCTGACGGAATGGTCTTCGTTTTATGAGTTTAGTAATTTCTGCCTTTCCACTTCTGTCCATCAGATACAGATTAGATCGGGTCCCCAACAGCAAATTCACTCCTGTTCATATAGAAAAAGAAAAGTGCTATATTAGCTCCAATTGTAATTTAATTCATAGAAGTATATCTTGCAGTGCTCAGCGTGCTGATCTATGTAAAGGCAGCTTTTGGTCACTTGAGGCTAACGTTAACTTCATTTTGTGTAACAATGAACTGTACCTAAACTGAAGAAATTTCACTGAAAGACATTAAATAACAGAAGAGAATACCCTCTGGGAATATCTACTGATTGGTGTCTGGAGTGCCATCACACAAACAAGTAAACACACACACACACACACACACACACACAGACTCGTATAACTGAACTCCTTTATTAATGTCCCAAACCTTATATAAAGCAAGAAACCTTGTTGAAAATTACCATTAAACTTTATGGATATGTAGCATATACAAATACTTCAATTAGTTTCTGATTTCTTATGATAACTAATGGTGCAGTGTTTTTAAAATAATTATATATAAACTGTCTGTGTTCATGCACATATTTAAAAACTTACATTGCTAAATGCCTATGAAATTAGCTCCTAAACTCCTACTCTTGCTATTTGTTTGGAAATATAAGCTATTCATGTAAATGTAAGCACTATGTAAAGACCAAATAAAAAGAGTGAAATAGAAGACTGAACTAAATTTAGAATATATTTCAAACTACTGTGAGATTTTCCCCCCATAACCTGAGACACAGGAGAAAATCAGCAAGGTAATGTACGATTTAGTGCTTCTGTGACTTCCCTCCATTTGAAGAACATTTTTTGCTCCACGGCTATAAAGAGCAAAGGCAGGTGTTCCTGCCCTCACTTTCTCCTGCTCTGTCCTTTAGCAGTTCTCTAAGTAACAGATGATGGCAGGTTTAGGAACATCTTCCCCCACAGGGAGGGAGTGAAGTACAACCAATTCTGACTGTAATATTTTATTTTTCAAAAGGTGTAAAAACGAGTTAGTGAATATCAGCTATATCTGAGTGGTTGCCTGACAGAAACGATAACAGCAAACTTTGCTTTCTTTATATCTGACACATTAGCAAAACTTTGAGGATGATATTTTTTTTCTGAGATGTTTGATCCACATTAAGTGTAATGTTTGCTACGCTGATATATTTTAAATTTAAACGTCCGTTCCCTGTTCAATCATACATTAAGCAAAATCTACGAAATTCCAAGTTGGAAGCTGGCATTTACTGTGGATTTCTCCCTTCCTTATGTTCATTGATTCTGTTTTATTTATGATTCAGACTGGCTTACGGTAAAACACTGTCTTAGCACTGATGATAAGGTTATAATTCTTCTGGAAAAAAAAAGAAACCAGAAAGGTTTATTAAAATTAAGAAATTATAGGGTTTTTCTCTACAAATCTTCAAGAATATTTAAAAAGAATCATAACCCAGTTTTATATCTTAACCTAGTCAATTTATCTTAAAAAGAAAATAGCATGAAAGGGTAGGAAGGGGGTGCCAATTCAATGCAATTTAAATTGCACCGAGTCAAAAAATCAGCAAAATAAGGAACTTACTGCTCTGGATATGTACAATTTTATTTGCTTGGTGAAAGCAGTTTAGTAATAGCAAACAAATGTTTTACATACATGATTTTTCACAAGTTGAAAAGCACAACACAATTTTAAGAAAGCAAACTCACCCCACAAAGAACCACAGCAGATCTCAGAAGTGAATTCCTTTTCATACACATGGATTAGTGGTTTTTTACATGTAGGAGTGACATATAGTGGGTTAACATTGACTTCAGAGGGTTGCTCAGGTGATTTCTCAGGTACATCCACTAATCCAGGATATACTGTGAAGAAGTGAGAGGAGGAAAGTGAGAGAAATTAGTCTCCACCATGTACACCATCTGTGTTTCAGTGTTTTGTGAGTTACAGCCTAGAAAAGTTCCTTTTCTTCTACTGACTTTTTATTTTTTACTGGTGGCATCATTTCTGTAACATGCAACACAAGTCATGATGGTCAAAATACATTTCTGAATATGAATGTATTTCCAATTACTGTGATTAGATTAAAAAAGAAGAAAAACCCAATGAAGGAATTAGTTTCTTAATCACAGTTCACTTTAGGCGCCTTAGAAATTGGCAAAAGCTTAGATATTTTAAAAGCATATATCCACCTGAATTTATGTCAACTCAAAATTTGCATAATTTGACTGTTCAGATTGTGAACCAGTAGCAAAGCACTGTCTTTCGCATGTGAACAGACTCCACCATTTGGGGAATATAACACACTTACAGATGGCACTTGGCAAGTCAGCATTTGCAGTCCCAGAACCATTGGATGGAGATGAGTAGCTGGCAGAAAATCCCGACACCGTTGATACTTCCGATATGTCCATACTGTCACTCTCATCATCAGGTGCTACGAGAGCAGGGCCCGATGCAATGGCATTTGAGGCCTCGCTTTTACCAGCTCGCTCCTAAAAGAAGATTGAAAATTGATTTTGACTATATTAGCAGATTAAGAATGAGAAGTAAATATGCATGGAAGTCATTTAAGAAAGAATGTGAAATTTGAAACCTTTATAATTCTGCACCTTTATAAAATCCATTTACCAGAATTCAACAATGTTATCAGAGAGAGAACTGACCTCTGTTGAGATGATGTTGGAGGAGAAGAAATACAAGGAGCTTAAGTGTCTGGCTATGCAATTTGGAGCCTACCATTATTGGCTGTTTTGCACCAGGTACTATTTGTCTTCTAAATTATGTATCATTTTGAATCCTTATAATAAAATCAAAGGTTCCATTTTACTTATAAGGAAACTAAAGGTTAGAAAAATTAAATTATTTAATTTGGGATCACAGAGATGACTAGGGGGACCAGAGCTTGAAGGTAAAGACTGATTCTGAGACTTACATTCAGCAAATGACAAAGCTAGCAGTGGAAAATCAACAAACAAATCCAAGTGTGAACATGCTTCACTGAAAATCTTTCCTATTTCTAAGTCACACAATGCCACAATGCCCCAGAACACCTGGAAGATGTCATATCATCTTGGAAAACATACTCTTTTTGCAAAGCTGTTTCTTAATAAGCATTTTTTTGTGTTTTTAAACAATGATTCTAGCCATTAAGAGTTGCCATCCCTGCCAAAATTTGTTTTTATGACTTTTCCAACAACAAAGGTGTTGTATAGAAATATGTATTGTATGAAATAAAGATTTATTCACTCTGTAAATTTCAGAAATATTCAAAGAGGTAACTGGAGATACTCAGGGGTGCTATAAAACTATGTTAACACATCCTGTTTTCATGTCACTGAGATATCCAGTAAATAGGTAGGCAGATGGATGATAGATGGATAGAGAGATAAACGGACAAATACAACACAGTTTTCTACTCACACTGCTTTCCCACTGGATACCATGTTGGAAATTTCTTTCTCCCTTTTTTCTTCCTTTCCTTCCCTTTTTATTCCATAATTATTGTGTGCCTTTCATAAATCAAACTCATTGTTGAAATATGGGATTTGGTGAGTGGGTAGAGAAAAATAATCAAGGATAACTTCTACCTCTCAAGATTTCACAATTCAGTGTGTTGGAAAAGCAAGTAAACAAATGATGAAATTACAGTCCCATCCTTACTGAAATCAAACTATGGTGAGCATGCTTGTGGCCACAGAGGGAGGAGTGTACCATCCTGCCTTGGAAGTCAAAGAAGATATGTAAACTGGGTCATGAAGAATGACTAGATCACCAAATAGTGAAGAGGTGAGGAAACAGCTTTACAGACAGAGGAAACGGCTTGCACAAGCACACTAATTCATAAAATAACATCCCATCTTTCAAGCCAGTTTCTGTGATATTAGACAATAATCTGGTGAAGTAAATTGGTATGGTCTTCCTTCTGTCTGAAATCTCACTTGTGTTTACAGATAACCGTTTGTCAAGAATTAGTTCAAACATCACATGCTTCAGGAACCTCTGTGGTAATTCCCATTGATATAGCATCTGTGAAGCTACTTGAATTATTTCCAACCCTATTTATAGTCAGTAAACATTTTGTAAATGAGAATATCATTGTCTAAACACAGGACACTATTTCTAATTAATTTTTATGTGTTAATAATTCCTCAAAAAGTTAAAACAGCAGCTAGAAATTCCACATTAGCTATTCTACTTTTACGTATATAGGACTAAATATATAGTCCAAAGAATTAAAAACAGGGACTCTCAAAATACACCAATGTTCATGGGGCAATTTTCATGAACTATAGCCAAAAGATGAAAGCAACCCAAGTGTCCATCAACAGATGAGTGGATAAACATAGGTGATATATTCATACTATGGATGATTATACAGCCTTTTAAAGAAAAATTCTTCTTAAGAATCCATGCTGCAACATGGATGAACTTTGAAAATATGCCAGTGAAAAAACCAGACATGGGAAGATAAATATTTCATGATTCCACTTATATAAGGATATAAGGTGTAGAGAGGGGGTAGAAAAGTTACCAGATACTGAGGGGGCAATAATGAGAGAATAATTGCTTATTTGAGATGATGAATGCTGGTAATCATTGTACAAAATTGTGAATTTACCTAATTCACCGAATTGTACCCTCATTAATGGTTATAGTGGAAAAATGGTGTCTTGTGCTTGTTTTTCCACAATGAAACCTCCCCCAAACTGTATGTGTTAAAACACTATTCCAACCACGTGATCTGAGTTATTTAAGCAAACAAAGGTATTTTCCCATCAAAATTTAAATAAATATTTATCTATAGCTATAATTTAAAAATTAAGGCTTTGGGATAGTTTAAGTTACACTTAAGAGTGGCTGAAAGTGTACTACATCACATGAAGGAACATTCTGAAGGAGAGAAAATTATTCTCATTTTCAAACTGTGTATTACCTCCTGTTGATGTTCAAAGTCCTGGGATGCTGCTCTCTCCAATCCCAGATCATCTATTTCTGCGCAATTTTCTCCATCGAGTTCAAAGGTTTCACTTTCTTCATTGCTTCCACTGGCTTCCTTGCTTTCATCACTCTCCTTCCCTCTTCTTCCATGAACTAAATTGGCTTCTTGTTCACCTTGCCCTCCAATCGCTGCACCGACCCCACGGGCTGCACCGACCCCACGGGCTGCACCGACCCCATGGGTTGCACCCACTCCTTGGCTTCTTCTGGTTCGGTGACTTCCATAATTGCTGCAGATTCCTTGTCCATCATTTCCATTTCTATCTTGCTTGAAGCTTTCATAATTGCCATAGCCTGGCCTATAATAAGATCCAATTAATAACAGAAAACCACCCAATGAAAACACATTTGAAAGTCAGCATGCAAAGCAGAATTAGTATCAATTTTATACAAGTACATTTCCAAGCATATTTTTACTCTGCATGAACACTACCAGTAAGATATAGATAAGAAAATGCCTTCATATCCTGTCAGTCCTAAATACTGGACTAACACCAGAGTCACTGTCAATTTCCTGGCAGCATCTGGGTGGCAGATGGAAGAAAATTTGTGTCCTTTATTAGGAACATGTGTTAGGTGAGTAGCAAGAATCTGTTTTTTTTTATTTCTTAAATAATAGACTACTTCATGCATTAGCAACTTCACAGCCATATGAACGATTAAGCTCTTCATTTCGAACGACCAGAACATATTTGTATAATTTTTGCAATATATATCTAATTTGCTCATTTTAAAATGTGCCTTGATTTTCTAACATGTATTAACTGCTTTGTTACAGAATCCCATCGACTGCTCTACTACTACCACAAGGAAGTTCAATAATATAGATCTCATTAACTTAATACAATCACTTAATGAGTGCCTAAGAATAACAAGTTTAACAAATTGTCCTAATGATCTTTTGCAAGAGACAACATTAAGCATATGTACCTATGGTAATTTTAAAATCAAATTTATTTGACAACAGAATTTCTACTAGATTTTTTTAGTTGGCAAAAAAAGAAAAAATATTGAATTTCTGTTCTGTCATGTATATTCCCCCATAAAACTATTTGAAAAGTAATAGAACAATATATAGACATCACTTCTAAAAGCAAACATTTCTCTCACTTCCCCCCTAAACTATCACCTATTAACAAGTCTTTGTTGAGAGCAGAGTAAATACAGTTCACAAATATCTGTAAATAAGAACATACTTGTTTAAAGCAGGAAAAAGGAACTATACAGAGAGCAAACAACTGTTGTCATACCAAAAACACTACGTCATTAAGTATTATTATATGGGCAGCTATTCTATAAGAAGATAAAATTGAATGAGTACTAAGTTTAGTGACCACAGTTTTCAGAATTCCAAGAATAATTATTAGTAAAAAATGGAGGCTAAAATATCAAGTGAGAATCAAGTTTGTAATTAATTTTTCTCAGTAAATTTAGGATTTTGCTCACAATTACCAGGGCTTCATTTTACAGCTAAAAAGAAACACCACTTAGTTTCTTGAACCATTCCTTACACTCACTGAGATTTCACAGAGGAGTATAATTCAGTAACATTAATTTTAACAGAAACACCCAATTCCATAAAGAACCTAATGAATATTTGAATACTAATAAAATGCATACCAAAAATGTGAAATTAAATATACTGTACTAAAACAATTCAAAACCTATTATTGAAAAATAACCATTTATCAATGTGCACATGCAATTCACTCACCCTCTCAGTACTACATTTTGAAAGTAAAGTAAACTCAAGATGTTAATAGTTCTGAAATTATAAACATGGATAGTATAAGTAATCCAGAAACCAACCTTGGCCAAACAGGAGCATCTTCATGATTATTAACTTCATAATCAACAGGCTCATCATAGTCTTCACCAACATCATTAGCCCGATCAGTCTGGTTATAGAAATCATCATCGCCATTGTCATGGTCATAAGTATCCTCATAAACATCATTAGAATCATCATCACCGCCATCAGTATTAGCACCAGCATCATAGAGTTCAACATAATCACCATCCTCTTCAGGTGGCTGGATGACATGTGATGGAGTTAACCAATCATTCCGGAAGATTTCAGAGAGTGCATTATAGCCCACCCATTCATTTGTCAAGTAAACGGGGGGTGATATTTTTCCTACTTTAAATCCATCTGGAACCTGTGTGCACAAGAAAGGTTAATGTAATCTCTCGTAGCCTTTCAATTTCTTCCAGATTGAAATGAATGAAACTGAAATGAAGATAGTCATTCCCTTAGATAGAGCCAACAGTTTTGTGAGGATGAGATACCAAAACTTTAACCTCAGACTATGTTCATTAAAGGCTTTTCTAGATGACATAAGCCTAAATTTACTCATTTTGTTTTCTATTAATCCTTGGTATGCTGAGCAATAGACATTTGCTTTATTAAATTTAATTTTATCTAGCCTTTTGTTATGATTTTATTGAGGTAACACTGGTTGACATGATTACATATGTTAAAGTCACAACTCTTCTGATATATGTTACCACCTCATACCTACAATATGTGCCATACAGCAAACTTTGAACAATCTAGAAGTGATGCATGTGTGGTAGGGTAGAAGCAATTACAAAGGTAAAATGGAATGATCTTGATCAAAATGGAAAAGGACATTTAGCTTTCACTGAATGTTTTATATATTGCCTTATCACACAAGAAATGGTATTAGACAAAATCTATGCACCTCAGTCTCTACTAGTTTTGAAAGTTTTCTATCATTACTCTGTCAAATATGTTATGATACAAAAATGTGAAAATAAATTATTTTATGATCAATAAAATGTTTTTCCATTTCAAGTTTAATTTCTACATTTCATATCCCATAATCTCATATTGGAAAGAAAATCTATCTTTAACAGATTAATTTTAAAAGCACATACTTCAACCTTTCCTTTACATTAAGAAGAAACTATATTTGTAAGCCATAAGATTGAAAATGAAAAACAACAGGTGCAAATGTGTTAAAATGGCAACCTACATGGACATCAACCAGCAGCTTCTGATCAATCGTAGAATAGGGAGGTGAGGACTGGGACCTCCTCCCAGTCACAGGGCTCTCGTCTTCAGAAGAAGATTCTGTGGATTATTAATAACAGAAAGGTATTTGTAACAGTGTTGATCACAGTGATGGCCCTCACTTATACAGAGTGCCAGTTCAAGGCCTTGGTATTTATCTTGAAACCTCTTGGGATTTCATTAAGGAAACATCACCTGATAAATTCTTATGGAGCAAGGATCTTTGTAATTTTCATTTTTCAGAAATTTTTATATATGTAATAATAAATTCATTTAAACAAGATCACTAAACACAGCTCAAGATACAAGAGTGAAATGAACAATAAAAATTTAAATATTTTTCTATCAATAGGTTCTGTTGTCAGGAACAGGGTCAGTTTTTTCTGTCTGTAGACCTACATGGCTTTTCTGTTTTCAATATTAACTGTACACTTTATCAATATTTGTCTGTGAAACCAAGTACACAGTAAGACTGGTAGACAGTTCAGTTGAAAAAAATATCAAAAATACAGGAGGCTGGGGAGTACCAATGGAATCCCTCACTAACCTGTACAAAAAGAGGCCAAAACCTATTAGAAGATGCTAAATTAGTCAAAGCTTAAGAGAACAGTTGGCTCTGCAATCTTAGACCCCAATTTCCACCCAATTATATATTCTCAAGTATTTCAATATAGTTGAAGAGTTACAACTGAAGACAGACAAAACCCCACCCTTTACAACTAGGAACCTTTCTATAATGGTGATGTGTAACAGAGCTTTCTGAAGTAACAGAAATGTTCCTTATCGCTACTGTCCATTATAGCCACACAGGTCTACTGAGTGTTTGAAAAATAGCTAGTGTTCCTAACAGATTGACTTTTCAATTTAATTCAATTTTAATTTTAGCTTTAACTTTAATAGCTGCATGTGACTAATTGCTATCACAATGCATAGATGAATTCTACAGTGTGAAATTTTAACGCAAATTTAATTTAAAAATGCAAATTTACCTGGATAGGATAGGTGGGCTTGATATTACGATCAAGTGATAATATTTAACAGACTCAACAATCAAATAGATCTGGGTGATCTAAAACTGCCAAATCTATAATTTATTAAAACACTCTCAAAATTGCACATCTTAAAATACTTGTTGATATTTATATCATCATCAGTGAAGTTTTTCTATGAATGTATAGATTCATTTCTAGAGTGCTTTGAGTAAAAACATCAATTTGCAACACAGGGATGCATAGGAGGTACTTTACATATCCTAATTCAGGGAATTGGAGTAACATACTGATGAATAAAACACACACACACAACTACTCCATCTAATATTCAACTATTTTAAAGATGGCCTATAAATTTTAACCTGTTGGAAAGGCCTCTCCCAAGTTCCTTTCCCATAGTTTTCACACATGGTATAGAAACTAAATAAAGTTGATACCTTTTTTCCTCTCTAGGCACATTCCTAAGTACTACCCAACTGAAAGAAGAAACTCTAGAAAAGTAACTTTCCATTTCTCAAAGGTTACCACTGACTACCCAACTGCCAAAGCCAATGGCCTCTGGTCTTAATCCTACTTGGCCTTCCTCACAGTTTTGATTCATTCCTTCTTGAAATTCTTATTTGACTTCTGCAATATAAATTGTTAAACATTAACTCTGTGTTTTGACAGCTAAAACCTTGTGCTTTGAATCACCTGATGCTGCTGGACAATTCTGAGGATTTTGCGAGCTCCTTTGTCTGATGTCAATGGGCTTCTGAGCTTGTTCCAAAAGAGACCCATGAGGAACACTAATGAAAAGACAGAAAATCATGTGCCATATCCTAACGGTCATAAAGGAATTACACAACTCAACATTAAGGCTAACGAAAAAAGCTTTTCAGTTATGGGTATATAAGCAATAAAAAAGCAATAGAACTTAAGTAATGCTTTCCATTTCCGTTCCCCCCCCACCAACCTGCTTTACCTAGAACAGAGAAATAATTCCCAAAATACAAAAAAGTATTTTATAGAGCATTTCTTCACGTGTCATATTAACTTTTAAAAATTCCTATAAATGTTCCTGAAGCTAACATTCAGACATTATTATTAACTAGGTAACACAGTGATGAACATGACTGAAAAGAACATGTGAGTACTTTAACCTGATCAACAGCTAAGTTATTGTTGTGTTGAATTTAAAGCTATTATCCTGATTTCAAATGCTTGCAATTCATGTTTTTTTTTTTTGTAAATCTCCTATTACGGATTTATAGAAAGAGATGGGATGAAAATGGAGAGATGGATGAAGACTTCAATTTTTACTATTCAACTTTGGAATTTTTTCCAAGATTTTATTTTTTATGCATACAGAACTGGGGTACAGGCCAGAGGTATATGTGGGGGGGGGGAGGAGCGGATTTACCAGAGACAGAGTGGGGAGCAGAACAGGCAGAGCTACTGAAATACAGTGCTGAAGGGGGTAGCAGGCAGGTCAGGAGAGGTCTGCCGTGCCATGTGGGTCACCTCCCTGGCCAGGGATAGAACTCATGCTGCAGCGGTTGTGATAGCTTCATAGTGTTTGGCTTTAACCCACTGCACCACCAGGGAGAGCCCTCAATTTTATAAATTTAACTATATTCAAGTTAAATTTGATATCTGTAAATTCAAAAATCCTTTTGTAACTTGAACAACCAATTACAATTTAAAAATAATGATTTCAGGCCCTCTCTGGTGGTACAGAAGGTTAAAGCACAGCATTAAGAAGCTAAAGCCACTTCAGCATGAGTTTGATCCCTGCCTGCCCCAGAGGTGATCCACATGGCACCACAGACTTCTGACCTGCTCGCTGCTCCCCTCAGCAGTGTACTTCAGTCAATCTGTCTGTTCTGCTCCCCACTCTGTTTCTGGTGAATCCTCTCACTGCCCCTGAACCTCTGGCCTGTACTCCAGCTCTGTATGCATAAATAAATAAATCTTTAAAAAGTATAATGATTTCAATATACTGAATTTTATTAAAATGATAACCTGTAATGCCAAAAAAAGATATTCAAAAGTCAACTGGGGTCTTCCTTTGTTATTACAATAACTACAATATTTACTCATTAAGTGAATAAGTGAAGAGGAAGAGTAAATAATCTTTAGTTTTCCATGTGGTAAATCATCAGTAGTTGAATATAGAAATCAGAGACACATTACCTTGGAGCGAACTTAACCCGCAGTGCACGATCCTGGTTGCAAGGCATAGAAGAAGATCTCTCTTGGACCTTAAAGACACAATGTAATGATTTGACAGAATTCTTCATAACATAGAAATTATTTTAAGTAAATACTCTTTTCATATAGATATTATCTTCTAAAAACCCAAAATATGAAATATGATTTTTATAAATAAACCATATTTTCATTATTACATATAGGAAAAAAAATATAACTGCTTAACAATGAATTATCTAGTATAATAACAGATTTTGGAGACAATATAATTAAACATCTCATTTTGTTACTGAGGAATCTGTAGCTCAGAGAAAGAAAATGATTTTTTAAAGAATTTTTCATGAAGTTAGAGAACTTCTACAATGCATGTCACCCAACTCCTAATTTAATGTTCTTTTTAAATTATTTTTACACATTACTTTCCAGTCAGGTTCAACCTTCTCACTCACTTGCTTAAGCTAATTGTAGATTTTCAAAAGTTCTAGCACATATGTACACATAAGTAAAATCTCACAATTGTCAAGTGTCCTGATCTTTAAGAATGTACATTTTTTTTTTCACTTAACAGGGTGATTTTTACTATAAAGTCGTATCAATGCTCCAAGGGTTTTTTTCAATTCTAAATAAACTAATTAAGATTTTAATAATTATGCATCCACCTAATACAGAAAAAGAGCTGGAGAAAGCATACGTAATAAGCCAGCTTCCACTGCTGGGGCAAATTTACTTTCTGTCAATGTCAGTAGCTGGGTCCATGGAATGTGTCACTTTTCCTCGTTTACTTTTATGTCACTAGGTTCCTACTTTAAATACCAAAAAAGTCATTATGACATTTAACTAGGAAGCTACATTAGATTATTTAGAAAGGAAAATTCATGTTGCTTTTTTAAAAAAATATTTTCATGCTAATAAAAATCACTGTAGTTTTCTTACTACTTTTTTTTTTCTCTATCCAGTCACTTATTAAGGTTGTCTTCACACTCCAACAGATGGGTAGGTAAGAAATGTTCACATATTTTGCTAATGAGTGTTTGCAAATACAACCAAATGTTTGGCAGTATGCAAGACATGCATCTGACTGAAGTTTCCCATTTTTTATTTAAATTGCTGGCACCATAAAATGACCCAGGCTAGAAATCTTGGTTCACAAAGATGAATTCAGAATGTTTACTGATATGAATAAATGAGAAGTCAAACACTACTCAGAATAAGTAAAGACTCAAAATAAGAAAGACTAATGCCTAATATGATTGGTTGTATTTTCTGAGAAATGGGAAGAAGGAAATGATAACTAAGTAAATCAGGTATTAAGATAAATGATGTATTCCAAACCAATCAGTCACAGCTCACTACATTTTCTGCTTAAGATGTCATGCTTAAAGTAGTAATTATTATCCGAGGGTAATGGAGAGTAATAGTAAAGTTGTCATTTAATGACAGAAAGGGTAAAGGGGTTCCTGCTTCATTCCCAAGTGGAACATCTAACAATTTACCAGAGGGACACTATGCTGAGAGAATCCTGCTGTTTGGGGTTCAGACTGATGTACCCCGTGCATCTCAGAGACCAACACAGATTGTACCAGAGGGGACATGTTCACAGCTGATTGGCCAGAAATGCCTGGAGTCTGTGGTCTAGGGTGTGGGACAAGGATGACAGGTAGGCTGAGCCAGGTGCTCTAGAAAGGAGAGAGTGCGAAGGGTGTGGAGGCACAAATCCTTGACCGGAAGCCACTATGAAGGAGCTGTGGTGCTCCAGACAGGCCAGGGCCCTGGTAGGAGGACAACAGTGAAGGTGCGATTGACCGCACTTCCCCACCCCACAGTACACTCACAGCGTACAGACCAAGTCCCAGATCGTACAACTTATCAGTATGCAATAATTTTAATAAAATTGACAAGTGTATTTAAAAATACTATTTATGCCATTTTATAATGAAATGTGTAAACATCTGGAAGCATCTTTATATACAGTGAACTGATGATTTCAAATTGACCAAAGCAAGAAAATACAAAATCATGACTGAGCAAACTATTAACAGCACAAGACAAACCATTGGATCTTAATATTGCCGTGCATACAAAATTTTATGGATGTGGCTTTAGATCCAACTTCTCTAGTTGAGGTGTATTAAAAATATCCACAATTTGGCCCTCCCTGTTGGTGCAGTGGGTTAAAACACAGCGGATTAAAGCACAGCACTGAGAAGCTAAAGCCACTTCCGCATGAGTTCAATCCCTGCCCCGGGGGTGACCACATGGCCCAGCAGGTCTCTCCTGACCTGCCTGCTGCTCCCCTCAGCAGTGTACTTTGTTGACCTGCCTGTTCTGCTCCCCACTCTGTCTCTGGTGAAGCCTCTCGCTGCCCCTGCACTTCTGGCCTGTACCCCAGTTCCATATGCATAAATAAATAAATCTTTAAAAAAATCCACAATTATGTGAAAAGCTATGAAAATTCTCCCTATCCAACCATCTATATGTGAGAAGCCAGCTTTTACTCATATATTTCAATTTAAACAACATATGGCAACAGATGGAATGCAGAAGCAGATATGAGAATCCAGCTGTTCTCCATTAAGTGAGATGGAAAATAGTTATTTCTCATTAAAAATGTGCTTATTATGTTAACATGTAATGGTTTTATTACTTTTCAAATTAATACACATTTTAAACTTTTGGCTTTAATTCCTAATACATTAAATACCAAATCACAGACTCCAAGTATACAAGTCTTCTGGCATCTTCAGTGTTTATGTAATGAAAAAAAGCCTAATACCATGAAGTTTAGTGGACTATCAGAGAAGTGTATGGGTGCCTGGCAGTGGGTGTGTTGTGGCGACACCCAACTGAAGAGCTGTGACCCTGTCCCTTTGAATTCTATATGGTGTATACAATGTCATGGCAGTAAAAAAACACTGCAATTTGAAAGTAATAATAGAAGAACAAAAACTGCTTTAAGATAGTGATATAAGGCCAATGTAAACCATCATTAAATCAGAAAATAGAATTTTAAAAATGAATCGAAAAGAACCACTGTTGGAGGTGCTAATGCCGCAGCTAACTCACTGAGAAACTCACATCATTCCCTTTAGCATTTGGAGCGTATGGCTGCAGTGGTTCTATTTGGACTTCAGCCTGAATTGAATGAAATACTTCGTCATTGTCTGAAGATTCATCTTCTTTGTCCTTTGAATCAAAAAGGAAAATAAACATTTCAATTTTAACATGCAATGATAGGGCAATGGCAGGATCCTAATATGCAAGTTAACAATTTTCAAGTATCAAAATTTGCTTAAATTATTAGTTTCTAGCAGTTTCGGCTCTGCATCCATTTTAGAATCTGAGGAAAACTGGATATACAGACACATATCCACATCTATTTTTAGGGGGATCACTGACTTCCTGCAGCTCATGTATTAGATTCAGGTTAAGAATCTCTGGTGTAAAGTTTGATGAACTCATAACTAAGTACAAAAATTAGTACAAGTCACTAAAAGGGTAGAGTTCAACACTGCACAGGAAAAAAGAATAAAGAAACTTTGAGGTTAGAGAAGAAAAAACAAACTTATCTTGCATTTTCTATGGTGTTATATCTGAATGTTTTTATTGTGAAAATCATTTTTAAAGATACAAACAATAAGATTAAATATGAATACAGTATCCCTTTATTAGTGATGGGAGTAACAGAACACTAGCAACAGAGATATTAAGTAGTTACCTATATTGTTCCAGTAAATTTTTCTTTCTCAAATTTAGTCACTTTTATCTCGAAATTTCAGGGTAATTTATTTGAAAACAAATTAGTTAATTTCTGGGAAACAAGGGATTTTTATTTCACTTGACTTCACGGGAGAAAATATGGATATGAACCAGCTAGAATATTTATTCTGCATATTCAAGACAGTAAGACTATCAGAAACTTACGTTTGCACCTTGTCTCAATTCCTCCTCATGGTGAGTGAAGATCTCCTCCCATCTATGCTGGCGCCTTTGCCTGCGGGCTTCTAAGTCTGACAGCTCAAACTCTTCAGGTTTCCGACATAATTTTGCTCGGAACCGCTTTGGTGACAGTCTTTTTGCCAATGCCTGCCTCAGACTAAAAACCTTTGATTTTTTCTTACGTGCCTGCTCTGGCTGAGAGTAAAATATGTCTGCTGACAGGATTTCCATTAAGGTTTGTAGTGGACCAAGTGGCTTTGAGTCGTGGGAGTTTGGTGCTCGAAGTAAATCTCTGGAAAGACCCTCTATGAGTGCTTGAACTGAGCCAACCGCCTGCGGGGGCTCTAGAGCCCAGGCCTGTGCCTGAGGTGCTCTTTCAGCTGGCCCCTCAACTGGAATGAGCACCTGAGTATCCAAGTGTAGCGGCAACAGCACGTGGTGGTTCTGTGACAGCAGGGGCAGGAACAGCTGGGCATGGACTCGTAAGGACTCAGGTTCCTCCTCCTCAGTCTCCTCCTGGGCAGGCTCAACAGCCTCTTCCTGTACCTCCTCCTGTTCAGGTTCCTGGTTCTGCTCCATCTGTTGCTCAGGTAGCTGGTTCTGCCCCTGCTGTTGTTCAGGGGCCTGGCCCTGCCTTTGTTGTTCAGGAACCTGATCTTGCCTCTGAAATTCCTCTGGTACCTGGTCCAGATCCTGTGGTTTTTCTAATGCCTGGTTCTGGCTCTGGATCTGGGGTTCAGGCTGGGGCTCGGGCTGGGGCTCGGGCTGGGGCTCGGGCTGGGGCTCGGGCTGAGCTTGGCCCTCTTTGGGTTCCTGGGCCCGTGTCTGTTGAGGCCTAGGTGTCTTAACCTGAGCCTGTAGTGGCGTGAGCATCCTGGCTGTCCTCCGTAGTCGTGGAGGAGCCTTAAGCTGCACTGGTATGGACCTAGATGCCTTAGCCTTAACCTGAGGCTGCAGTGGCATGAACACCTGAGCTGCCCCTTGGAGGCGCCGTGGTGCCTGGGCTTGCCCCTGTAGAGGCCTAGGAGTGTTGTCCTGAGCCTTTAGTGGCGTGAACATCCTGGCTGCTCCCTGTAGATGCTGAAGTGCCTGGACCTGTGGCTCTTCTCGATCAGGTAACCACCTTGGCTGAGAAGGTTCTCCATGCAGGACTCTAAGTGGCCTGCATCTACTGCTGGTCGGCAGTCTCAGAAGCTCCTGAGTACAAGAAGGGCCTCTAAAAACAAACATCCAAATGATTGCCATGCAATTAGAATTGTCAGTAAAGGCATTCAGATTTTTTTTTTAATTTTAAAAGATGGACATTTTCTGCAAAGAAGGTATTTGCAACCTTTATGTCTGAAACATCTGTATTATTAATGGCCTCAGTATTAATGGCCTCATAATTTACTTGGTCATTCTGGTGCCAGATACCAGGGAATCTTTGAGTTGTAACAGAAAAATTTACACAAAAATTCTGCTCAAATATCACTTGAAAATCAAACGACTTTTTGTTACATTAAGAATTAGGTTTTCCTGAATCAAATATAACAGTATGGAATCAACTGCCCTGCATTAATTGCTAACATCAAATTAGATGTGCAATTTGTTGAACACACCTGAATCTCCTCGTAGTGTACTGTTCCTTAATAGCTTCTTCTCTTTCAAAGACAAGAGGCATTCCTTTTTGGGAAAGAGAAAAAAATAATGCATAAAAATCAGCAGAGATTAATGTAATTTGCCTTAGTCAATTTGCATGCCTAAAGTTCAGGATGTTGAGTAAATCTGCAAGGCACATCTTCATGTCACACCTGTGTGGTGACCTAGACAATATCCTACTTTCTGGGCCCACTTTTGTAGAAGAGTGCAGATATTCTCTGCAGATTAATTTCTCTGGTTATAAGAAAGAAAATTCAACGATCTAACTGCTACAATTCTAAAGAAAAATATTTGAGAAAGGCAAAGGAAGAAAGCGAGAAGATAAACTCTACATAGTTTTTTCTTATTACATTTTATTTATTTATTTTTCTGTAGAACACAGGTGTAGGTGAGAGGTGCAGAGGTGAAAGGATTCACAGAGATAGAGTGGGATGCAGAACAGAAGGATCTACTGAAATATGCTGCTTGATGGAGAAGTAGAAGAGAGATGATGGTTTACTTTGACTCTCTTTTCTTGTCAAGGATGTGCACCAGCCAAATTACTTTAATCTGACCCATATCGTTCCCTATTTTGGCATCCTCCTTGGTATTGTAGAGGTTGTTTTTAATATTGTCAGCTATGCTTGTTTACAGTCCAACTTATATTCTTGTAGTATCACTCATTCCTTCACACTTCAATTCTTTCTTTTTTAAGATTTGTTTATTTATGCATACAGAACTGGGGTACAGACCAGAGGTTTAGGGGTGCTGAGAGGATTCACCAGAGACAGAGTAGGGAGCAGAGCACTCAGACTGACAAAAGTACACTGCTGAGGGGAACAGTGGGCAAGACATGAGAGGTCTGCTGTGCATGTGGGTCACCTCCCTGGCCAGGGATCGAACTCATGTAATAGTGGCTGGTGATAGCTTGATAGGAGACTTTAACCCCTGCACCACCAGGGAAGCCCGCGTGTGCTCTAGACTAATGACTTATTGGCTTGTACACACATCAATCTTTGGTTCTTTCAAGGAAGATTTTTGGAAATGAGTATCAGCATATTTGCTCCTTTCAATGAAAAGGTAAACAATTTTAATTCTGAGTTTATGCTTAACACACTGAAAATGTTTGGCTCTTTCAGTTATGCAATTACAGCTTACATATAGAAACAAAAGAGTTTTCTTTTGAATTTGCTACATTAAAGTATTTAGGGCAACCACATTTACATATTCCATACACACTCTCCATATATATGTAACTTTTACTGTAGGTAACCTTTTGACACTATTACAACTCTGGAAATTAGGAATTTTTCAAGTGGATGTGGGTCTCCCTGCACCCGTTTGAGATTGGCTTTACTCTGCGAAGTTGATACTGGCTGTATCTCTGCAAAGTTGATACAACAAAGTTTCCAAAAAAGTTAAATTAATTTCTGCCACTTCTCACTCCAAAAGAGAATACATGCAGTTATGCAGAAGGAGGAAGATCTGCTGCTGCAATCAATCCCACAACTGCCCCATGGAAGCCTGCTATATTTTTTAGGTTCTCCCATCACCACTGTCAACACTGCCTATAGTCCCACAAACTAAATGTGGAGTATGCAACACAACCTAGCAAACTAGAACATCCTCAGTAGTTTTAACTGACTTGGTAAAAATCCATCCTCCTATTTTTCACATTAGTAGATGAAACACTATTTGTATAAATTAGGTCCTTAATTATATCATATAGTTGGAGATAAAAAAAAAATTTTGTTTGGTACACAGACCTTACTTCCAAATTAAACACCAACAAGTAGCCAATAACAAGTAAATTTATCTCGCTGGGGTAATTTAAAATATGAACTAAAAGCCAAATTAAGATATAGAGTTTGTTACCTTCTTATTGTATTTAGTTTAGGAGTTTTAAAGTTAACACATCACAGGGCCCTCCCTGGTGGTGCAGCGGGTTAAAGCACAGCACTAAGAAGCTTAAGCCACTTCAGCATGAGTTCGATCCCCGCCTGTCCCGGAGGTGACCACATGACGCGGCAGACCTCTCCTGACCTGCCCACTGCTCCCCCCAGCAGTGTACTTCACTGACATGCCTGTTCTGCTCCCCACTATGTCTCTGGTGAATCCTCTCACCCTCTGCATTTCTGGCTTGTACCCCAGTTCTGTATGAATAAATAAATCTTAAAAAAAATTAACACATCACAAAATTCTTCCTGCTGCTTTCAATATTTTGGTAAACATGAACAGTTTCCAGGTATAACTGGCAACAATTTATAATCATATGTGTATGTATATAAGGGTGTATGTAAGTGTGTATATATAGCTATACACACACTACTGTGCAAATATTAAGTACACATATGCACACGCTTGCAGGGGAGAGAATGAATTAAACACACAAGGAACACTGGAAAAACAATACTGAATGACTTAGAATTTCTATTTTCCATTTAATTCTTAAACAAATACTATTTTCCTGAAAAACAAACAAACAAACAAACAAAACTTGGGCCCTCCCTGGTGGCACAGCAGGTTAAAGCACAGCACTAAAAAGCTAAAGCCACTTCAGCATGAGTTTGATACCCACGCCGGAAGTGATCCATATGGGTCAGACCTTTCCTGACCCGCCCGCTGCTCCCCTCAGCAGTGTACTTTGTTAGTAGGCCTGTTCTGCTCCCCACTCTGTCTCTGGTGAATCCTCTCACTGCCCCTGCAACTCTGGCCTGTACCCCAGTTCTGTATGCACAAATAAATAAATCTTTAAAAAAGAAACTTGCTCTAATCTGAACGTAATTCTAGAAAAATGAGTTTAGATTCTACCTTTTTTCTGTCTCTTTTTCATAATTCCGATAAGATGCTTCCTTAAGGACTCAACAACATGTCCTTCATTTTTTATATTTGCAACAAATGGATGATGAAGCATGTTCGCAGAAGTAGGACGAAATAGGAAATTTTTTATCATGCACTTTTCCATGAAATTGTGGAACTTGCGGGACCTAAAAGGAATGAATCAAAGAGACAAGAGCGCATTATCGGGTCTGCCTTACTGTCTCCCTCCCTCCACCCAAGCAAGGTCATATACTTAAGAGTTACTTCTAGCTATAGTTGTCTTTTTAAATGCCAAATATCCTGTTGTTGGACAATATACATTATACAACAATGCCATTCAGTCCTAGGAAGAGGTCAGAGTCAATGGCATTTTCCACTCAAATAATAGGAACTTATCAATGAGTTCAGTAAAATGTACATAATAAAAAGTCAAGTGGTAGAAGGGCAATTAAGTATCCATGTGCTATATGTAGGCCATAAAACAGGCTGGTCAGCTCATAGTAGTTGCACTTTGAAGTATGAATGTTTCATTAGATTCTATACACATTTAGCTATAGAAGCACAGATGTAATGATCCAAAGAGTGTTAGTAGCACCGGGACTAACAGCAACCCTGAATTTGTACAGAGTTAAATCAAATCACAAGGAAGACTATCAGCAATCAAAGCAGGGCAAGCATTAAATACTAGGAATAAAGAAGAGACACAAATACTAGATTATTAAACTTTAGTAGGAAAGGTCCTCTAGATAGCCCATACACCCAGGAAAACAAGTTCTCTGCTCAATGTCTTTGAATGGTCCAGAAGACTGGGCTGTATATCACAATCACTAATGGTGTATCTCGGGCGTAGTAAGACTATAAACAGTTCCATTGGCCCACATTACTGGAGAAACAATGTTAGGTCAATAGTGCCATCACAATATGCTATAGAGGGTAATATCTATTTCTAGTTGGCTAATTTGCTGTTAGTAAAAACTGGTTATTTAGAACAATGCCCCTTTCTACACCCCATTAAAACTGGTTTTGAGGAAATATTATTAAACAAGGATGTTGAAATCGGACAAACTAATTAAAACTTCTTTGTTACATAAAACTGTCAAGTTAATGTGTTTAGCTGATTAAGACATTCATCTTTACCATCCGCTGGATTTGACTTTGGGAGCAGATTCCCTCAGAATAACGAAGAGGGCTTCCAAGGGCTGAAGATTACACAGGGCTGTAAAGGGAAACAGAAATGTTTAGAATTAATGGTAAGTTAACTGCAGAGCACATTCTTCATTCCAAAAGAGATTTTGTTCTTTCAAATAACATATTGAAAAGATACAAAAGAATGTTGTTAGAGGATAAGCTCATTTGAATAAAACACCCTTAAAAATGCTAAAGTTTTCACTACTGTTAGATGTGACTTATCACTAAGAAATTTCCTTAGGGGCCTCCCTGGTGGCACAGGGGGTTAAAATGCAGCACTATGAAGGTATTGTAGCCACTGCAGCACGAGTTTGACCCCTGGCCAGGGCGGTGACCCACATGGCACCGAAGACTTCTCCCGTCTCGCCTGCTGCTCCCTTCAGCAGTGTACTTCAGTTGTTCTGTCTGTTCTGTTCTTGTTTCCCACTTTGGCTCACGTGAATCTTCTCACCCCCTACACCTCTGCCTATATCCCAGTTCTTGTATGCGTAAAGAAATAAATCTTTTTTAAAAAAAGAAACTTCCTTATATAAAATGTGATGATTTATATCTAGAGAAGTAAATAAAAAATGAAAACATACATTATTCTATGCTTTGTATTATAGATAACTATAGTTATAAAACTGGAATATATCATTATAGACTGAAAAAGTCAACCACATTAATCCCCAAGCACACTAATATATAACAAGGAATGACTCAGTAAACTCAGAAGTTGAGAAGACTTTGTTCTGGAAACTGAGGAAAGAAGTAAATACAATGTACAGTAACTGTTAAGCACACACACTCTGGGTTCAACTCCTAGCTCTGCTTTTGTGACTTTGGGCAAATCATTTAACCTGTCTGTGCTTCAGTTTCTTCACCTGAAAGAAAATGAATTATAACAACAATTTCATCTACCTGTAAGGTGTCTGATACAGATCAAGCAATTAATAATTGTTAGTTATTGATATTATAATAAAGATCTTAACTATCTGGCTCTTCACGTTTGTACCAATTCAATGGACTTTTACTCTCTTTTTTTAACACTCAGCCATACAGAGAAAAGTCTATTCCAAGATGTGCTATAAAAATTCATTACATGATTGGCTTGGGAATTCTAAGCTTTTCTTTCAGTATTTATATCTGTGTCTCACTTCATTTAGTTCCTCTTGTGTTTTGATTAAAATAAACTGGCAGTGCAAAAAATCCCCATTAGAGGGCCATAGTGTAAATTTCATGTAACGGTACATTCATGTGAAGATATTAATGAATTTTTGAGAGTCGTCTTTCATCTCCCCATATACATCCCAGAAAACTCTGAAGTCAAATTGGTGTATCATAGTAGTAGAAAAAAAAAATTTCCATAGAGATTTTACCTAGTGTTACATAAAAACAATTGTTCACAGGTCAAACTTTTGTTTCAATTACTTAAGTATAAATTAATAGAAATGCAGGTTTATAAGTGAGGGCAAAATTAGCCCCAAGCTCAAAAGATCAGGAGTATATTTGACTCATTACTGTGTCCAATCAGTCATGAGGTTCTGCTCTTTAAATACTACTTGTAAGTACAAGTTTTTAAATATTAACCAGCTGTCATTTATTTACATCTGAGCGTCAGTCAGTTAGCTAAAAATGTCACGAGGGATTAAGAGTTAAGGAATATTTTCCCTTTTCCTCCTTACTTATTTCTACCCATGTTATTACAAATGGTAGGAGTTTATCTTTCTTTACAGGTGAGTAGTATTCCCTTCTGTATATATACACCAACAATTCTTTATCTGCTCATCTGACATGAGGAATTATTTCACTCATCTGTGGAATATAAACAAGCAAAAACAAAGGAATAGACAAAACCAAACCAAACCAAACCCGGGAAATATGACTATAGAATTGAGACTGCTAGAGAAGGAAGGTGGAGGGTAAGAATCACAGTGGGGAGAGGGCCCAATGGTCTGTGATGGAGGAATATGGGTGCTTTGATGGTGGTGTGATGTCATAATATATCTGAAGAGATGTGAACCTCTTCCCCTAAAAAATACACAGTATAGTAAACTAATGTTACTTTAATAAAACAGTTATAGAAAAAAATAATAAAGAAAAAATTGGTACATTTTAAAAGAAAAAAAGAATTAGGGACTAGAGTAAAGGAGAAGTTCACAAAGGAGTGAACACAGGTTGGATACAAGAGCTGTGTCAAACAGCAGTAGTGGAGGTTCTCTGCATGTTTCAGTTCGAGGAACTGAATTGCCCTTAACCTTCTATATCCCAACACAACCTAATGTTTCAACATTAGTGATGCATTTCTGTGAAATAGTAAACCTTGTTTATGGTTATCACTCATGACAGGTTGGAAACATTGAATTGGGGGCAATTTGCCTTAGTTTATACAATGTGGTTTATTTCTAATACATGTTGAGCTAAAGAAATCTTTTGAATGTTGAAAGAGTGGGTCTCTTGATGGGACAGAGGAAAATTTTAATTACTCATTAAAGAGTGATTCGATGTGTAAAGGAATGTGGGCCCTCCCTGGTGGCACAACAGGTTAAAGTGCAGCATTTCCAAAGGAAGCTGCAGCTGCTTCAGCGCAAGTTTGATCCTAAGGCAGGGAGGTGTCCCACATGGCACAGCAGACCTTTCCTGTCCTGCCCACTGCTCCCCTCAGCAGTGTACTTCATTGTTCTGCCTGTTCTGCTCCCCACTCTGTCTCTAGTGAATCTTCTCACTGCCCCTGCACCTCTGGCCTGTACCCCAGTTCTGTATGCATAAATAAATCTTTAAAAAATGAAGTGTGAAGGAATGAGAGATACTATAAGGAATAAAAGTTGGACTATAAAGAAGCATAGCAGACAATATTAAAAAGCTCTACAAAGGAGAATGCCAAAATAGGGAAAGATACGGGTCAGATTAAAGTAACTTGGCTGGTGTACATCCTTGACAAGGAAAGAGAGTCAAAGTAAATCATCATCTCTCTCCTGCTTCTCTATCTAGCAATGATTCATTTTCCTATACACAGTAAAACTAAGAACTGTACCTATCCAATATTAATCAGTCTATATTTTGATGTCTGAGTAGCTACAAGTAATATTAAAGCCTTGTTTTAAAGTCTCCACATTATTTTGAATTCCTATTCAAAAGACAGAAGTTAAAAAGTTCCTATGTACAATGGCCCAGATCTTCTCTCCTCTGAAAGCCCCTGTAAGCACTCTTTCATTGAGAAATGACTTTTCCTTTCTTTGCTTCTCTGGGAGAAATTCACCAATGAAAGGAGAGAATTTTATTGTCTAGGTCTCAGAGGCAATGATCAGACAGTTGGCCTTTAGGTAGTCTATCTCTTCTGAGATTATAATTATAAACTGGAGGACTTCTGCAGTTAAATAGATGCAATAATATCAATCCAAAATTGATATTCCAGGTAATAAAGGAGGTTGGTGAGAGAGAAATGTTTAAGCAGTATGGCTATTTCAAGTTGCTCCTGACCAAATTTGCAACATTTCAGTTACTTATCCAGTCATGACAGTCTTATTTTCTCTCCTTGTGAGTTAAGAATCCCCATCCCTCTTTGTACAAAGCTTCCGATTTGTGTACTCTGTGCACACCATCTCTGCACTCTGTGACTTAGTCTAGTGCCCCTTTTTTCTTCCAAGACTTAATATTTTATAATACAAAAATAAATCAAAAAAGATGAACAGAGAAATACAAATCTGCAAAATCTAGAAAGCTAGTTTTTTAGCATGGTAAAAAATACTCAAATGCCAGAAAAATACCTACTACTTGATGCAATCATGTATCCTAATGAAATACGTGCAATGATACTAAGATAAAATACCATATTGTGTATTTAAAGAGGAGAGGAAGGAGGAGCCGCATCAGTTAGCAGCAATCTAACATCATCTAAGGTCCCCAAAGAATTTATAACAAGATGATGAAGAACAATATGCATCTCCTCAGTGTCATTTCAATTTTATATAAGCCACATATATTTTTCCATCGTTTATTTTTTTACTCACCCAACATACTTTGTAATTTATTGGGCACTAGCCTTGAGGCAGTAGCAACTTGATCTCCACATCTGTCCCAGCTTTAATCCCAGCACCAACCCTCTTTCCCCTACTGTGATATGCCAACAGACACCAGGAATTCTTAACAATTATGCTACTATTATTTCTCCTGTTCAAAATTACTTCCATTGGCCTTGAAACATTATGCACAGGGAACTGCTGGGCCATGGAAACCTACATGATCTGCCTGGAGAAGGGGGAGCCAAGCATTTCTGCCTCCCCACCCCACACATACTCCAGGCATTTATTTCACCTCTCATCCAATGTGTTTACCATTCATACTTTGGATTTATTACTGAGACCAGCAAATGGGCTATGCTTATGGGTTCATACACGAAGTGGCTTGCAAACGTTTATATCTAAGTTCACATTCCATTTTTACTTTCCTACCAGCAAGCAGTGTCCTGAGAGAACAGGATGCTGATAAGTCATTTAAATAATGGGGAAGAGGGAAAAACAAGAGGAAATGGAGCCTTCTGAGTAGTTAAGGGCACTCAGGTGACTGACAGCAACCTAGGCACTCAAGGGGAGCTGAACTGATTCCAAAATCTAAAAGTTTCCTTCCTGAAATTGTTGAGGATTGGCTCAATTTTAATGAGCCACTGGGAGCTTTTTCTCAACTGTCGCAGTCTGAAGTAGTAGCAGTGTGTAATTGCGAATGTTCCACAAAGTTCCACATGTGTACTGGCACACTTTTGGATTCTGGTAGGTCGGGACTATCAGAAATAATATTGAAGTTAAACTGAAACAGCACTCAATCAGCCTAAAATAAGATACCCTAAGAAAGAAAAGCTTCCAAAGCTCCTTTTTTTTTTTTTTTTTAAGCAAAGCTCTTTCTATGTCCCTATCTGGCCATTCTGATGACAGCATTTGGCAATCAGTGAAAAGGCCATCACTTCTCATTTGGCACACATTGTGGCACTTGTGTGACCAGTATAAGTGGCAGCCTCATATTCTGGTGGGACATGTTTCCCTAACCTGTAACAAATATCAAACATTTTTACTTACGAGGAGCTCCTTCAGCCATTTCAATAGCAGTGATTCCCACAGACCATACATCACTCTGTAGAGGAAAAGATGACAATGTCACTTAAGAATGGGAAACCAATGACATTTAAATTCTCAAATCAATCTTTGGCTGAGGTGGGATATCACTGTCAGATTATTTTATGGATTTTCTATAATGAAACTTACTTAGAGATTGACATTATTTGAGCTTCAGACCAGCCAAGACTGTACTACACAATAGGCTGATATGAGGTGGTATCAGTGTAATGTTATAGCAAAAGGAATCTGTTGTAAAGAAGTCCTATGCCATGAACCTACCAGTTGTGTGATCTTATGTAAATAATTTAACTTTCTGTACCTCAATTTCACTCTATGAAAAATGGAAACATTGATGTCTCTACCTCAAAGGACTGGAATGTGTATCAAATTAAATAACCTTAATAAAGCCCTTTCAGCAATTACTAGAATATAGTAAATTGAAGGCAGAAGTATTATTACTCCCAAGAAATTTTAATTTAGGAGGTTCTATAGCATTATCTCTACTGCTATTAGTTTGTTTTTAAAAACATGGAAAAAATGTAGGCCTACTAGTATAATGTCTGGCTGGTTGATTCCTAAAGCAACTAACTGAATCCGTAGTACCCCTAGTTTATAGATCTCTTGGCTTCAAAGGGCTGATGAGATGGTGTAAGCTTAAACTTCCAGTTACACTGGGTTAAAAAATAAAAATAAATTATTTTATATGGGTACTTGGAAGACGGCAAAAACTTTACAGCTACCAAGCTCTATTTTCACGGCAAGCCACTTAAAGAACATTATGCTTCGATACTCTCCACAGCTTCTTAGAGCCCTGGACTGTCATAGGTTCTCAATAGATCTGCTTGCAGATCAAGCAAAGGGCATTTAAGGGAAAGCAAAAGGAGATGAAACTTAAATTAATCAACTTCAACTATCGAGTCCTAGGTTCCACATACTGAAACCACAATGAATTGTTTGGATGACTTATGATGTGGAGAGTGAATGTGGTTTTTCCAGTCTATAGCAAATGGAGAGTTTTCTTTCCACATCAGCTTTTTGAAATGTGTACATAGATGTATATTGTTCAAACTGCAGCTTCAGTGGAAATTTTAATAAATAGCATGAATTGTTACTTAATTTGTCTATTCCACTGATGTTTTGTGGTTTGGAGGTGAACTATGCCAAGGATTTTCTCCATTACCCTGCATAATCAAATTATTTTTTTTTCTCTTTTGGAGCTAAGTTACTGTGGAAGTTAATAATTGGCTTTACATTTATTCATTTTTAGGCTTACAAAGTTCTCTTTCCCTGGAAGTTCAATTTCCATATAAAGCCACATAATATAACATTTTTACCATGAAGATGCAAACAGTATAAACTGGACATTCTTCCTCAAATATGAGTAACTCCCAATGGTCTACTTTGTGTATATTCTAAGAAAATATTTCATGCATATGATCAAATCACATACAGGAATAGTACTTCCTATTACAGTTTACTGTGAAAGGGGTAAATGCCTGACTCAATCTTATAGTCTATCAATAAAAAAATAAACATTAGCCAAAAGTTTCTTGAAAATTGTGATTCGCGCTATCTGAACCCTCACACTTACTCTGTAGTCATAGGAGCGTCTGGGGTCCTCGTCGCAGTCAATCACCTCAGGTGCCATCCAGTATGGGGTTCCAATGAAGCTATTTCTCCTCCCATTAGTCCTGCTCACCTGGGCACTCACCCCAAAATCCACTGCAAAATTCAGTATATGTCAAAATAATTAATCAGTAACAAAAAGCTCAATAAGTTATTGCTTTAACTTGGAGAGCCAATACAAAAGCCACAATGGATAACAGATTTTCATTCCAGCCCAGCAAACTTTACCATGAAGTTTACTCCAGAAATACTGGGAAATAGGCTTTTGCTGCTATTTATGTTGGAAATAGACTCAGCAGTTCTATTATAAATCTGCAGTAGGTTTGGCTGAATGTTTACCATGAATATTAAAAATCAAATTCCACCAGTACACCCTGAACCTCTGAAGTGATAACATATGTAGTGTTTGGACTTGCCATCAAGCCAGAGTAAGACTAGCAACATCTAGAAAGTCTAATCCATTAGGAAATTCACTCATGACATTAAAAAGTCCTATTACACTGATAAAAGTGAGTTTTCTACTACAATTTAGTTTTAAGTTCTATAAGTTGTCTGAATCAGATGTAAATATTTACTGTCATATCCAAATCTTAGCTTAAATTCTTGAAGTTTTATTCATCTATGGAATATATTTTATGAAAATATTTAGTATGGTATCCTCAGAAACAGACAGAAAAAAAAAAGCTAAAGTAGACTGGGAATATTTAGTCCAGAAAAAATAAGAGAGGGATGAAAAATGAAGTTCATTTTCTAATTTAGAATGGTTTCCAGGAATCTAAAGGATAGAGAATAACATTGACTGAAGTGTAGTTTAAAGAATTTAGAATAAAAGAATAAGAAAAAGGTTGAAAGTTGAAGACAGTAAGAAAGGATCTAAGAACAACACAACAAAAAAAATGTCCATAAAATCAAGTCCACACACTCATCATGGGGTGTTAAGACATTTTAATTAACTGGCATTTTTTTAAAGGATAGGTTAAATCAGATAATCATTCTCAGTATCCCTGACAGCCAACTGAGGGGCCAAGAAATACACATAAAGGGCATAAGACAATCAGGGAAGAAAATGAAAGGAGAAAGCTGAGAAGAAAGCATGGTGAATGGCAGAAGAGGTGGAAAAGGTAAAGTGAAAAAAGGAGATGAGTGGCTTAATTTAACAATTTCTTTAGTGACCTAGGGACCAGAATATCAGATGGTTGATGAATTGCAATACAGTGCACTATATTGTTTTTCCAGTCATTTTGTTTTCTACCATCCTTTGGTTATCATTGGGCTTGCCTTCTCCAACTTTCTTCTAATATATTGCTGAAAGTATGTGATAATCTGAGAAATCTAAGAAGAAATTGTGTTTAAAACTAAGTCTGATTAAATACTAATCAAGTGTTAAAATGTCTCTCTCGTTTGGAGTAAAATATATGAATTTTAATGCATAGACTTTGAGGCGGATTTTTCAGTGGCTTTTCACTTACTTAGCAATTTCTGTTCTGCATTGCAAATGGTAGGGTGAGCCAACCTGACACAAATACATGGCAGAACTGCCACATGTGAACAGAGTGCAGCCTAGCAGCGGATTACTGACCTTGCACATCTGCATCTGAGATCTCCATGCTCCCAATGTATTTTAACAGTGTGTTCAAATTATATTTCTAGGTTTTTAGTTTTTAAGCACAATATATAAAACATTTTCTTGAAATTACTATTCCCTGACCTCATGAAGCATTCTCTATGAATGAACAAAATCTCTACTCTGGTATATTTTCTTTTAGCAGGAAAATAGAAACTATCTTAAGGTCATGCTAGAAATATGGTTGGCAAGAATTGATATAATTTTAAAAATAACACAGAATACAGAAACAATGATTTGTGTTCTGTGCCAATGGGGTTATCTGCTGCTACCTAGTACTGACATTATTTATATGGCATTATTTAAAAACCAACCAACAATATTTATTTGAAACATTAAAGGATGCAATATATTGTTCCCTGTGTGCCTGTCAAATAATGTGTGTGGTTATTTTCAAATGAAGTATGCCCTTCGGAACCCTATAGAAAGTCAGGGAATTTACGCTCTTTTGATTTCCTGTTCTAAGTTCCATTTGGATATTGCTGGATCATCGTTTTTAACTGACACCTACTCTTTAAATATTTGAGAAAAAATTGCAAAGAAGCGACTTGTACTTAAGTTATTAAAAGTTCTTTGATATCCTTTGGGAAATGTGGCTCTGTGGTGTGGAAGAATTGCTTGTTTTTAAATCCCTGGGTGAGGCACAGAAACTTATACATGGCTAATACCCAATTCAATTGTTGAAATAAGGGTAGAACAGTGACCCAAACATAAATTTCCCCCTATAATTGAAAAGTCACTTTATCTGCATGATTTCAGAAAAGCAGTTATGTGCATCTTTCACTTGCTTCACCTTTCTGTCCAGACAAATTTTTAGATTTTGGCTAGTCCTGCACTGTGAAGACACAGCCTCAAAAGAAGATATTACTAGTAATGTGACAGAAATACAGTTGCCGTAAAGGATTTTTCTCCATTAAGGTACACTAGGCCTCAATTAAAATATTGCAAGCATAAACTTACCTAGTTTCACTTCCGCATTATGTGTCAGTAGCACATTCTGACCTTTGATGTCTCGGTGAATCACACGGTGTGCATGAAGATGAGCTAAGCCCTGTATATATACACACATATTTAGAGTAAAAATATTCACATTAATGTTTATTTTTCTCTCTCCTCTTAGTGTTTTTGGAAAATCTTCTGGTAAGAAAAATGGCCCAGATTTGATTTTTCAGACAAAATTCCTTCTTTAGGCTGGAATCACTACAACCAGTTCCCAGAAATACTACTTTTGGCTATAAGGAAAGGAAAATAAATCAGGACACCCATGAAAGAAAAAGAACACCAAAAAGAAATGTTTGTATACATTGGGCCATTTACCTTTCTTTCTTGCCTCCATAATTCCAACTAACCATAAGAGTAAAAACTTAGACATCTTAAATATCATAGCTCAGACATTGTTTTGCTCTATTCATCATCCAACCACTTGTTTAGTCCAAATTATTTTCTAGTCAACCTTGTAGGCTAAGAATTTGAGGAAACATGGAAATTCATTTTAAAGCATTTGCAATTTGTGTTGGCTGACCATGCTGGCTCCAACCCATTCACCACTAAAACTAACTGGTGACCTGGCTAACCCATGACCTGGCTTCAGTGGGACTGCTCCAGATACTAACTGGAAAATAATAGTAGAAGTAACAGCAAAAACAGCTAATATTTATTGAGTCTTTACTCTTTGCCAATTACTATGCTAAGTGCTTACATGGAACAAATCATTAAATCTTCATGGCAATTGGCTGAGGAAGGTGACGATATCCCCCCGTATTATATACGAGGAAAGGGAGATTTAGAGAAATAAAATAGCTGACCTAAGCACACAAAGCTAATACATGATTGACAAGAATTTAAGTCAGCCCAGAGTTTGTACTCTACTATTTATTTACACTATCACCACGAGTGAAGTCAACAAAGATGAGAAGGACATTCTATCATTACCAGGGGTGTTGTTCAGTTCTGTTAATAATCCTTTTGGGGTGACACTTAACACTTAAACCGCAAATAAAAACATGAGTTTGGTAGAACAAGAATATTGTATCTCTCATTTAATTAGGTATTGAAAATAAGTTTTTTAAGTGGGCATTCTTCAATAAAGGATTATGTGTCCAAAATGGCTGCAGATGATTTGAGTCTGTCCTATAAAATACTGACAGATTCCACCTCATCTTCTTCTTAATCACTAATGACAGTGCTATGCTTTTTCAAAAAACATCTGAAACTCGTAACATAAGAAGTGCTCCAAGCAGTCATTTCCATGGCCTATTGAGCACAATAGTCTGGCATTGATGGAGACATGAAGGGCCCTGGGTTGTAAGGACCTGGTTGCCCATCTTGAGTTAGTGAGAAGATAGACTTAAGTTAGAACTAAGTCTAAGGACATCACCTGAAAATCTGCTTTCTCTGCCTTTGGTCTTTTTGGGCATCCTGATCAGAGGTTATATTTAGAATTCTTAAATCACTGTATATAAGTATGTATAAATAAGTAACATTTTATATAACTTCAGGGTCTTTAAGGTCAGGGAAGAATGACAATATGAATGTTCACCTGAAGGATTTCTCGGCAAATGTAAGCAATCCAGTCTTCTTTTAAACTCTGATTCCTGGTCATTCTCACCACATCAGTGACTGAGCCTGCTGCACATAACTCCATCACCATCTGCAGTAAAGTCAGCAAAATATTGATAATTAGGAAGTACTTCTCTGAAAATATCTGGAGAGTTTTAGTCCATCTGGATTGCATTTACATGCAATGTTTAGAGATTTAGACATTGCAAAGACTAGCTCAATTGTCTGGTGGAAGACTCCAAAGGTAAGTGGAATTAGGAAAAGTTGGAAGAAATCCAAAGATATATGGGAGGAGGGAAGGCAGGTACCACGCCAGGGTTATTTAACCAAGAGTTGAGATTTGAAGGATAGAACATTCACTTTGTTGTAAGTAGAATGCTTTTAGAAAGATGATTTTTCTGGAGTAGAAAAGAAAGGACGGATGAAGGAACAGTTGACTGCAAATAGAGAAGGAGGATGCAGAAGATTTCAAAGGAATGCATACTTCAATATCATAACAAACTTTTTAAATTGTTTTTATTTTCAATTTCTAGATCATTTTCCTGCAAGATATGGGCAAGTGGTAACTTGAATGGGGGAAATGTTGACTGTATTCCTATAGGGCATTTTTTTCCCCCAAATGATTTTAGAGGAAATTCAGTTTTGGAGGAAATAATGACAGTGTCTCACACAAATTGTACATTTTAATAAAGTTGACATCTCAGAAAATTTATTTCTGCCACCAAATAATCAGATAAATCTCCTAAATAGTGAATTGCCTTCCATATACTAGTTTAACTAAAGGACTGACCAATGTGAAGAAAAATATATTTATTTTGATCAATCTAGCAGACTTTTAAGCACAGGTTCATCCACTAGTACACATGTCAACATTGCTTTATCATAGCACAAAACATGTCTTTTTTTAAACTGTAGGTCAGTTAATTATTACCATTGATGAAGGGAAGCAAAAGGATAAACCCCAGGTCATGAATATTCAAAATGTCTACCTTATTTCCTTTTCGAATACTAAGGTTGTTTTCTTTTAATAAAGTTACCCTCAATTTATATTTATTTTCAACTGATGCTATGGCGTGTCTTTCACCTGAATACACTCTCACAAAAAAGAACAGCCTAACGACACCACTTACTCAGATATAACACAGAATATTTATTTTCATGTTGACTACATTGAATGGGCAGAACATGTACACTGTGCAAAGACACTCATTTTAAACCATGACGAACCTAAGTTAAAGCTATTTACTAAGAGGCACACTGAAAAATCCTGCTATTACCTAAGTCAGAAGAACTCTACTATGAAAAGAATGTAAGGCATTCTTAGTCATTTTCCCAGCTTTGTAAGCACAGTGCCTAGCACATGCTTTATCAATAGTAACCAGTCATTTCCTAACTTTCTATTTGTTTTGACTTACACAGCTAAGAAAATGTGAATTGTTCCATGAAAACTCTTATCTCCAGAAATGATTTTCACATGAAGAACAGATTCTATTAGATTTCACTTTGTTTCACTTTCTCAAGGAAGACTTTCTCATTTCCCAACTAGATTTAAATTCCTTTGCTTTTGGACACACAGAAGCATGTTATTTCCCTTCTGATCGATTATACTTTAATTTTTATGATTATTTGACTGATACAGGTCTTTGTAAATAGAATACAAGTTCCAATGGGTCAGGAAAATAGCTCTTCAGCTTATGACCATACATCTAGCATAAGCGGAAGGCCTGGCAAATATTGTCAAATGAGTATATACTGAATGATGAAATAAAGTGAGTATTAATAATACATGTGATATATAAAGATAAATGAAATAGGAAAAACTTATAAGTAAATATATATCATATATGTAATTACATTATTTAGTTCATTCAGCCATTTATTTATTCATTCAACATAGGTTGAATATGGAAACAACCTAAATGCACAAAATCAGATTAAGAAAATGTGGTACATATATGTGATGAAATTCTATCCGCCATAAACATGAACTCTTGCCACTGTGACAACATGGATGGAAATGGAGGAAATTATGTTAAGTGAAATAAGCAGGAGGAAGAAAGGCAAATACCAGATGATTTCATTTATATTAAGAAACTAAGCAAAGAAACTGACAAAACTAAATGAAAACAACTCCCAAAAATCTGAGGGCAGTATTAGGGTTACTAGAGGGACAGGAGGACAGTGGGATCAAGTTGGACGGGACCCAGTGGTCTATAGTAAAGGGATAGGAGTGTTCTGGGATTGGGTGTGGTATGGCGATGCACATCTGAGGAGGTATGAACCTATTTCTCTGAATTATATAAAATGCTGCAAACCAGTGTTATTTCAATAATAATAAAACAAAAAAATTACCAGTAGCCATTAAAGTTGTATATAATAAGCTGTATTATAAGAAGTCTCAACTGGAATTATGAGAGGCTTTAATTAACTAGACATTTGGAAGAGTATCTGATTAACTTGAAGAGCTCTAAATTTGGTGGTTTTCAAAGTATGGTTACCATACCACCAAGATCAACATCATGTGTAAACTTACTAAAATGTCAAAATTGTTGGTCTACACCAAGACCAGCAGAATTCAGTATCTTGTGGGTGGTGCCCAACAATTGTGCTTTATCAGGCTCTCCAGAAGATTTTGAGGTATGCTGAAGTCTGAGAACCACTGATTCAATTCATTCCCTATTGAAAACTTCTATAATGTTCTCTGTCCTGTTTCCTGAAAACTGTGATGTAAAATTCTTCTTGACACTTGAAGATCCTGAAAAGTCTCACTCATAATTTTGAAGGCAGAAAAAAATATTGTTCACTTGGACTAGAAATGGAAATCTAGTAGGTATACACTGACTTCAGCTATAAATATTCCTTTTAAATAAGTACATTCCTGACCAAAGCTTATTTTCCTGTGTTTGTATATATATGTGCATATCTCTCTCTCTCTCTCTCTCTCTCTCTCTCTCTCTCTCTCTCTCTCTCTCTCTCTATCTATCTATCTATCTATCTATATATATATATATACATATATATATATTTTACCTATAGCAACAGACAGCAACAATTCTGGTAATAGCAGGCTGGACTTCAGTTAGCCTCTAAATTTGTATCTCAATAATCTGGAATTTGTGAGATTTACAGACATGAAGACTCAGAAAAGAATTAAGTCAATTGATTATTCAGAAGAGTTTCTAGGAGGTATATTTAAATAAATGTGAATATACAGGAAATCCTCAATAACATCATTGATTGGTTCTTGGAAACTGTGACTTTAATCGAAATGACATAATGAAAGGTCACTGAATATCGTATCTGTGGACATTGGCCAGGATTGTTTTTTGTCATTAAAGTTAAAACGAAATGATGTTGAATGGAACCATGTGATTCGACGGCTTTCTGCACTTAGTAAGCACTTAAAATGCACCCATATGCTCAAGCCAAATACTAGTAAAACTGACATTTAGCTAGTCATTATGTGCAAGTTCATCAAATAGTCTCCTTAGCCATATCTCAAATTTACCAGTAAATGTAGCAACTACATAAAGCTTAAATTAGCAGCAAATTATATTTGAAAAGAAATGTCAAATATTTCCAGTGTTCACTCAATTCCTCCCTTACTGTACTATCAAACCCTTGCCAGGTCCTTAAATTATTATTTTTTTTATATCTTATCAGTCCCATCGCCAAAATTCAGAGCACATTTTGTCATATTGCTTTGAGGAGATGAGTGGTCACATTTTCCTGTAGGTGGAGAAAAGTGACATCTAAACTTAGACAAGTTACACATCCTCAGGATTTAGCCTATGCAGTAAGAAGAAAATAATAATACATACCCAAAGTTGGTGTCTCTGGCCAGGGGGACTCATCTTGAAAAATGCACCATAAAAGGACACGATGTTTTTGTGGAAAGAGTATTTCTTCAAAAGGTTGAGTTCAGTCCTGAGATCTTCTTCCTCATCCTGTAGAATAAGAAGAGACTCAAGGTCCTAAACTCGTCATTCAGTAACTGTGGCGCCCTAAACTGCAGGAAGGGAGAATCCTATGGCAACCCATAGCAATTATCATATCCCAGTTATTATAACCCATGGAATATTTATAATAAAAGCTGAACTAGAACTGTTAGAAAATGGTGGTCTCTGGTTAACTGGGGCCTTGGGATAAAATATGGTTAACTAAAGATCTTTTAATTTAATTGTTCTCAAACTGTGGTTCCTGGTGGAGCACCAAAGGCAACTGTTTTCACTGAATGGAGTCATTACACTTTTGTTTTGTAGCAGTTTATAGAGATATGATTATATATCCTGTAGTAAGCCCTTTTAAAATGTTAAGAGAGATGAACCAGAAGACGGCAAACACTGGATGGTCTCACATGTGGAATATAGAGAATCTATAGCCAAGGGTCAGTCAAAAACAAGTCACTAATAAGCTCTTAACATCTGACTGCAAAACTAAGGCAACCAGAAGGGAAGGGAGGATTAGAAAAGGTGGAGGAAGGAAGGGCCCACTAGAGCATGGTGGAGGATTATTGGGACACTGGTGGTGGTCACAGTGTTAAAACACATTTAAGAGGCGTAAACCTATACCCCTCAAAGATGCAATCATGTAAACCAACTTTGCCTCAATAAACATTATTGGGGTGGATAGTGTAAACTCCAGTGTAGTAAATATGTAGAATTTGTGGAACCATTATCACAATTTTAGTATCCACGAATATATTTTCTATCTTTATAAGTTTATCTACTCTAGATACCTTATATAAATGAAAATCACAGACTTTGTAAACCTGTGTAGTACATATCAGTATTTCATTTTCTTTCTTTTATCATTCATCAATGATTGGATATTGGTCTCATTTTTTATCTTGTAGCTCTTATGAATCATGTTGCTATGAGCATTCATAGCAAATTACTATGTGGGCATCTATTTTCATTTTTAATTAATTCATTGATTTTTAAATGAGGTAACAATGGGGTATCCCCAACCCGTGTTTCTGCCATAATGCAACTCACCCATACTCTGCACAGCACTGTGCCTCCCTCCCTCCCTATTACTCTCACTCCTACATGTCTTCTCCCCTTGCTGTCTCCGTTCTGCAGTCATGTAATTTCATTTATTGTCGGTTGACTGCACCATTTTATATCATCTACAACTATTTCCTGTTTTACCATTATAACCATTCTAGTTGGTATGAATTGATATATCATTGTAGTTTTGATCTGAAATTCCCTGATAATTAATGATTCAGCCATCTTTTAATGTGTTTATTTGCCATTTGTATACGTTCTTCAGATTATCCAATTGAAAATCTTTGGCCTTGTTTTTTAATTCAGGACATTTGACTTGTCTTTTTTTATTGAACTGTAACATTTATTTATATATTCTAGATAAACCAGAATATAAGGTTTATGATTTACAAATCTTTTCTCCCATTCTATATGTTGTTCTTTTACTTTCTTGGTAGTATCCTGTGAGGCAGAAAAATTGTAATTTTCATGAAGTCAAATTTATCAGTTTTCTGTCTGTACTTTTGGTATTTAAGTATCCATTGCCAACTCCAAAGTCATGAAGATTTGCACCTATATTTTCTTTTAAGCATTTTATAGTTTTAGCTCTTACGTTAAGGCAACTCAAGTCTATAGGTATTATTTTTATGGATTATCTGTATAGTGATAAGAGAAGTCTTTCTTGTATGACTTACTGAGATAGCATTGGATTGCAACACTGTTTGTGACTCAGAGATGTAGGTTCATATCTCTTCAGATCTACATTACCACGCCACACCTCCTACCAAGGTACTTAGTCCTAAGTCACACTGAAGCCTTTGTGCATGAGATCACTGAGGTTGAGTACATAGTTGCAAGAGATATTTCTATCAGAAGATAGTTTGATGTCATCAGAAAAAAACATCATCGGTATAGGGCAGTAGAAAACTTAGTTTTTAGCTGAAAGTTGGAAATTTAATCTTCTCAAGGTTCAATTTATTCTCCAAAAAAAAAAAAAGGAAGATGGCAGTCATTATTTCCAGAGTGTTAACAAAATTGAATGGCATAAATTTCTTCCAATTCCTTGGGAGAACAATGCTGTAATTATCACATACTACCTTTGTTATTGACCTTTTCATTTGAATTCGAGTGATACAAGAACTACACCTCTCTCTACTTTTGCCCTAATCTACAAGCATCAACAACCTTAATTTTCAGCACACTTGTTAAAGTGAAATGAAATATGAAGCAATCCTTTTTTTCCCCCATACTATAGCTCTAGGTTTATATTATGAAACCAGTAGTGTCATAATTGTCTTGTCAGTCAATATAAGAAAGGCTCCTTGATTCTTAGTAATTTGACAATCATTTCTTTTTGTGTGTATTTGGGTGAACTGCACTAGAGAAAGTATCTTAAAATGTTACTTACAAAAGTGTAACTTAAACTGTTGGGAGTTTCCAATGAACATTATGTATCATAGACCTAAGTTAAACTTACATAGAGGGAAATAAGATTTACATACATGAATGACATATTCAGGGATGAACATACGACAGTGCATAATGAAACTGTGAGTGATGCTCAATGACCGAGGAAGAGAGCCTGAACTTGACAAATGGATTTAACAGTGGGCTCTTTTGAATTCCTACTAGCTCTACATTTCGTGTGATTGATATTAAAAAGCTCTTCCAACTACATCATAAAGTTCAATTCATATAACCTTTTCAGAAATATTCTTATTGTACAAATGAAATATATTTATACTACATTTAAAAAGGAGACTTTTTAATTAAAGATACAGTTAAACTCCCATTCTGAAATCCAGTGGAAAAATAAAACACCTTTGATTTCTTTGGGGCAATGAATTAAAAAGTCCAACTGACATGAAAATCAATTAAGGAATTAACATTTAATTATCTTTCATTCTTTTCAGTATTTCTCTGAATTACTATGACTTGATGATCTGATGGTAGGGGGAAATACATCTTTTGGTTGAAATGAGTAAGAACCTGAATATATCTAGTCAGTTACTGTTTTCCTTCTTAGCTTATTCTCTAAGGTCCACTAGGAAATATGGATAATTAATTTTCATATTTGGCTATATTGTTGTTGGGCTTTAAAAATGCTTAGGAAATAAATATAAGGCAATGTACTAGGTTCTTCCCAGAAATATTCATAATATATCTTTGAAAGTAAAGTTTGAAATGGTATGTAAATAGCTGGAACTTGCAGAACATTCTTTAGCATTTATTTCCCTAGGACTTTCCAGTGGAATTACCCATAAATATTCAACTACTAAAAAATAAATTTGGACACCTATTTGTCTTTGGGTGAAGGGAATGAAGCCTGATTTTTCCAGTTGAAAACCTGGATGATGGGTTTTCTTTTGCTATTTATTGTATAATAGAGACATGAATAAGTAAAGCAATCAATTTATAGCATGAGAATTATCTGAAAGTTCAGGTTGCAGCCGCATCACTGCCTCCAAGGAAGTTCAATTGCCAAATCCCCTTTAGGATTATGGTAGGTGACATAAGCCTGAAGGAAAGAGTAAATACTGATGGTTTCACTCTCATGTGGAATATAGAGAAATCAAACAAAAGATCAAGAAAAAGGCAGAACTTGCGAGCAGATCGAGCAGAGCAGATCGGAGATCTGAGGCATATGGCAGGGGATGGAGAGGGAGAGGGGTTAAAACGGGAGAGAAGAGCACAGGGGATTGTGGTGATGGGTGACAGGTGCTGTGGTGGAGGTGGGGGATCTACAGAGACTACACATGAGGGAAAGATCAAATACTGTCCAAAAAGTAACAACAATGTAAGAAAATAAATAATTTAATTTAAAAAATAAGGTCCCTTCAGATTCCTTATGTTTGTTTTCTACAAAACTGAAACTTGGCTCTTGTGGCTTTCATTCTTGCCCTTACACATTACCCTTCCCCTACTGTGTGGTTCTCCTTCGAAATGGAAAAAAAGTATCTGCCATGATACGGAAATAAAGGTGAAGAACTACATTGTGTATTACACATGGGCACTGTGTCACACACTGACTGATCCTAGTAAGACCAAGGTTCTGCTAAGAAGAATATGGACTCAAACTGTGCAATAAACAGGAGTAAGACAACAGCAAAGTGAAGGACACACAGAAGAGGTAAGAGAGAGCAAGGGCTAGACTCCTTTAACTTGCTTTCTAGTTTGAGATTGGGACCTTTTTTTTCTTTCTGGGTTAGAAAGTTTGTGGCCCTGAACAAGAACAGGAGAATGGCTGTTCTTGAGGCAGCTGTCTCCCTGCATTTTACCACAATTTCAAACCTGTTTACAGGCTGGTCAAATATTCTGGTGCCATGATACCTATGAGGAACCAGAGGTCTAGAGAGATAAGACCCCATTTCCAAACATTTCTTGGCTAGTTAGTGATAGACTGGGGACTTAATTCGTGTTTTGGACTTCTACATTATTCCTATTTCCATAAATGCCTTAGTCAAAGAGATGTGTGTGCAAGTCATCAAGGTTTTATGCCAAAGGATTCAAGAAGAGGTAGAGATGCTAGCTGATCAACTAATAGTTATATACTTTTTCAAAATATATAGCCAAAAGTTCCAACTTGAAAAATCTTTAAGAGTGATTTTCTCACATAAATGTTAACTCCTCCCAAACCAATAAACCAAGATGAGATATGTTTGGAAACCATTAGTGTGTTTGCCATTCTCAATTAACAGGAAGTTGAGCTTGTGAGAACACATAAGTACATTATATCCATCAGGCCAAGTGGGTAATTTAAAACTCTCACACATCTCCCAGTAACATGATGCTTTAGCATTTCTTGGCTCAGGGCCAGGTGATCCCAGCGTGGCCTGAATATCCTGCTTTTTGTCAAGACGAAGCAGCTCAAGGATGTCAAAATTTTCTTTGCCATTTTACCCAACTCTAGAATGAAAAATCTTTAAAAAAATTTTTTTTATGGAGAGAATTACCAAAGTTTAGCAAAGATCCTGAAACAGGCTTATTTTGCTTGCTGAAACCGGAATTGGTCAAATAATTATATTTGTCATAACTTCCCTTTTACTGCTCCCTGATCTAGCAGCACATGCAAACACTGCTACCTGTTTCATTTGGCTATGCTTTGAAAGGAGCCTAGTACCTACTAGGTGAATTATGAAGCTGTTATCAGTATCTTTCTAATATGACTATACCATTTTTATGAATGGGGTTGTGGTTATAAAAAGAAAGTTATTTTTAATGCTCCTGAGAATATTTATTAAGTACATTTATTAAGGTATACAAGCTTCAAAATACTTGAATGACAAATAGTTGGCACAAGAGAGAAAATAATGAAAAATATATCAATGAATTAAACTGGTAAGAACAGGAATTGTGCTTTTAAGCCCACAAAGTACTTTCCTAGATTGCCACCATCTAGATCACCAACACTTACTAAAAGAGGATTCTGTTTGCCTGATCTTGTTCTAGAGCCAGCAAATTATTCCAGTCATAAAGACTGCTTTGTAAGGCAGTTTTTTTTTTTCTGGTGAAATGCATCAGAGGAGGTGTGATCCTATACCTCTAAATTATATGCAGTGTAGTAAGCCAGTGTTACCTCAATAAACAATAAAAGCTTCAAGTAGGAAGCTTCTTCATACTCCCCTCATATGTTCAAGTACTATGTCAGATGTCTGACAGTTGATCTTCTGTCCACTACCGTTCTTACAATTAAAAAAAAAAAGACTAGGCCCTCCCTGGTGGTGCAGCGGGTTAAAGCACAGCACTGAGAATCTAAAGCCACTTCCGCATGAGTTCAATTCCCGCCTGCCCCGGAGGTGACCACATGGCGAGGCAGACCTCTCCTGACCCGCCCGCTGCTCCCCTCAGCAGTGTACTTCCATGATCTGCCTGTTCTGCTCCCTACTCCGTCTCTGGTGAATCCTCTCACCCTCCGCAACTCTGGCCTGTACCCCAGTTCTGTATGAATAAATAAATAAATCTTTAAAAAAAAAAAGACTATATTTGGGTCATATACAGTGGCAATGATGCTTGGAATCACAATAGGAAAGGCAGTTGGTCCTGAATACAATGTCAAGGTCAAAGTTAAACAAAGTTTGCTTTTGTACCTAGATTCTCATTTGTTCCCACTCGGCCAGAGCGCTTTATGCTTTCTGTAGATTTACTCAATCCTTCACCTATATTCAACACTTACCAGTTCAGGGAAACATTTCTTATTGGAATGCCTTTCGGACAGATGCTACTGTACAAATATGATGAATGAATCTATATAATGACGTTAAAAGATATAAATATGTTACCACTTCCAAGCAGGAATATTTTAGTGGCGGGCTTCTAAAGACATGATACAACACAAAGGATCAATTTAAAAGCCGAAAAGTGGCAGTTAATAAGAACTTTTGAGTACTCACACTGTATCTCCACCCAACAGACTTTTGATATTTATTCACTCTCACTCTCCTTCCTATTTCAGGCAAAGGGGTCTGCAAAACCAACAACAAAATGTTATTAGGCTCACTAGTACACTCTGAAAATGTTGAAGTTTAAGTAGTTTGTGCTCTTTTACCACTAAATGGAAGAATGATAATATTATTTCTCTCTCAATTTTCACTATGTTAATTTAAAAAAAAAAACCACATTCTTAAATACATAAAAACTTGTCACAAAGTTCACAGTAACAGGCTTAACTACCATATTAGTGGTACAATTATAGCCTGACGTTAGTAAAGACGTAGTTCTGCTTCCAAAACTAGGTATTGAAACTATGGACTGAATATGATTTTTTAAAAAGATCAAAAATCAAAGCATTGGAAATTTCTATTGAATGGGGTTCAAAGTCTCTCAAGTTAAAACAGCTAACAAGTAATTTTCAAAGTCATCAAAAATGATGAGACTGATTATTTGAATGCTATAGTTTGTAGAGAAAAATAAATCTACAAACCCTCAAAATCCCTTAAATCTCACATTGGTTTGTACATTTGACATTAAAAGGTAAAACAAAAAGCAAGCAGCTTTTTAGATACTTTCAGCAATTCACTACCTACACCAATTAAAAAAAAAATAGTTTATGGCATTGACAACAGTTCAGTGAAAATGTATGTATAGCTTTTCAAACACAGTATTTGAGCATTTTCCTTTAGGGGATAGTGAAGTGAAAAAATTTTGACCTTTGCTATGTTCATGCTAATATTACCTTGAGAAAGTGAGTCACTCATGCTAAAGAAAGAGGACAGAAATCAGGGCTTAGCAAATTCTATGACAATATGTTATGAACCATGACACAACTTTATGAATGTTAGCAGGAAAAGTGCCAATTAAACGGTCTGTCTTGCTCATCTGTCAAAAAATACATGAAAAAAGTGCCTCTCTGATAAATTCTTTCCTTCTACCTGTCATTGAGAGTCTAACGGCCTCAATTCTCAAAAGGGATATTTGGAGAGTGGAAATAATATGATAAGACATAATAGAATTTACTCAATATTAGGGCAATCTCCTCTTTGCCATACATGGAAACAGATAATCAAATAGAAATGGACAGGAATACAGATACTTCTTCATTCTTAAAGACTACCAAAAGATGTGGAACTTTTGCTATAAAGCATTTTGTGTATAAATATAGTCATTAATAAATGTAATACAGCAAATATGATATACTAATGAACATAAAGAATATTAAGCAATAAATACAATAAACCCAGATTAACATAGTTACAATCATGCATATAAGGATTCTAAAAAATAAATATATTTCCAGAACTCTTCATCACAAGATCACAGTCCATTAAGGAAACAGAATAGAGATAGGATATAATATTACCTTACGAGCATTCATCACTTTAACAGCTGTAAATGCACCAGTCTTTTCATGGAGTCCCTGAAATAAAGAACAGTAATAATAAAAAAAAAGCTGGCTATATAATATCACAATCAAGAAGCAAACACAGTAACAGTGTAAAATTAAATAAGGTCAAACACTGTAGCCCATTTTGAAATAAAAAAATATATAGCTGAAATATAAGATATTATGTAGAGTTCTCACAGAAACATTAAATTATGAACATTCTAAAGAAACCCAAAGTAACAAAAAAAGCAAACAAGTTTGCAGAGTAGTTTCGCTTTTTATGTTTATATTATACAGTAGACACAGCTGACCATTAGCAGGTATTACTTTATTAAATACCTTGAGTTTAGGTTTGTAAACTACCAGAGTACCCAGATGAAAAGTGGAAATTATCAGACTGGAAATGGGAAGAAAGGACATGGTCCATTAAGTATTTTTTTCAACTGATAATGTGGTTCTATGCACAAATATTCTTTTTTTTTAAAGATTTATTTATTTGTGCATACAGAGCTGGGGTACAGGCCAGAGGTGCAGGGGCGGTGAGAGGATTCACCAGAGACAGAGCGGGGAGCAGAACAGGCAGATTGACAAAGTACACTGCTGAGGGGAGCAGCGGGCAAGACAGGAGATGTCTGCCACGCCCGCCGTGGATTCACCTCTGGGGTCAGGGATCAAACTTGCACTGAGGCAGCTGTGCCTCGCTTGCTTGCAGTGCTGCATCCTAACCCACTGTGCCACCATGGAGGGCCCACACACTTATCTTTCTACTGGATACAATAAACAAGATTTTCCACAATCACAGGTAAGGGTAATGCATAAGTATTTCAATGGGCTATAAACCACTAAATTTGCCCTCAATAATATGAACCAAAGATATTTATGAAAAGAAGAAATTCTGAAAGATTCTTATTGAAAACATGTTGAATTCTAGGAGCTTATTTTATTCTATTAAATCTAAGTATAGGGGCCTCCCTGGTGGCTCAAGGGGTTATGTCTCAGTACTATGAAACTACCAGTCCTATCATCTTCCTTTCCTCCACACCTCTGGCCTACACTACAACTCTTGTGTGCATAAATAAATACATCTTTAAAAAGTAAATAAATGCAAGCATAAGTTTAAGTTATACATTTATAATTATTCTATTTATTATAAAAGAAAGTGAAAAAGAAGTTTAATAATAACAGGTTTGGAATTGGGACTCTTATTTTGTGACTGGTGCCTTTCAAAAATATTTCAAAATAGTCAACTGACCAACGAAACTCAAAACAAAAACCCTACTCTACCTACCATCAATGTTGGGTGTTACTACATTTTTCCATCTCCCTCCACTGATAAAATTTAATTCCATATATTTCAGATTACTTCAATCTTAATAAGCGAGTCACTGTCTATAAAAGGGGCCATGTGTCAGAAATGGATCAGGGGACTTTCCAGGAACTACAGTGACTTTAGAAACGCTGACACCTCGACTTAGCTTGAGTTACTGCCAAAGAATTAAGCATTATATAACAGAATTACTTATAATAGCCAAGACGTGGAAGCACTTACAGTGTCCACCGGTAAGTGGCTACATGAAAAGGTGTGTGTGTTTGTGTGTTTTCACTATCTCTATAAAGGGATAATACCCTAGGTTTAGAACCATGTACTGGGTTAATATGTCTAATCATTACAACATTTTTTGCGTAAATGTATTAGTCTATCCAGATCAAGAGATAAATGGGAAATTGCTGCCTGTTAAGTTAGTATTTCAGAGTTCTCCCTGTAACTTTACTTATAAAATTTTTATTTTGAAATAATTTTAGAATGAGAGAATACTTTCAAAGTTAACAGAGAGTTGCTGTATATCCTTCACCCAGTTTCAATGTTAACATTTATGATTCTGGTAATTGTCAAACCTAAGAAATTAACATTGGTACAATACTCTCAACTACATTATTGTCTTTATTTGTATTTCTCCAGTTTGTGCTAATGTCTTTTTCTCAACTGGGGTGCCATATTCCATTGAGTTGTTATATTTATTTAGATTCTTCAATTCTGTGATCGTTTCTCAGTCTTCTTCCCTGTTTTTCATGACCTTGACATTCTTCAACAGTATTGATCCAGTATCTTGTAGAATGTTCCTTACTTTGGATTTGCCTGGTGTTTTCTCAAGTTGACACTGAGCTTATAGGCTTAGGGAAAGAACACCACAGAGCTCAAGCGCCCTTCTCATTACATCACATCAGGGGAGGGGACATGGTGTGATCAAGACTGATCACTGGAATGATAACCTTTATTACTTGACTAAGGAAATACTGGCCAGTTTTCCTCATGTCAAGTTACTATTTTTCCACCTCATACTCTATTTATTAGAGGTGATCGTTGTTGACTGTGAACACTGTTCTTGGGCATCTACAGAACCTAGAAGTTATCTTGAAACGAACTAATTGTTCAGTGGTGCCATCTTGTGGTTCACTCACTATAATATTGTCTAAGTTGTTTTATGAAGGCCATGCTCTCATAAACAGACTATTCCTGGGTGAGATGTTGAATAAGCACCTGAAAATACCATTCCTAGGATGTATCTTTTTATTTTTTCAATTACAATATTTTTTATGAGAAATTAATAAAATACCCCCTTTGTTGAAACACACATAGTGAATGCTAAGAAAGGTGATTGGTTTTTTATTCCAGATTACTAAGTAACCTTATAATCCCCACTTGTCTTAGTGCATATTATACAGGAAAATCACAAGGAAAGCCTTACATTATAAATGTGGTATTTTTATTCTGTTTTCTCTACCATACTAATACCACTAATACCATATAGAAGCTACTAGCCACACATAGTTTGCATGCAAAGAGTGTCCTTTTAATTATTCAGAATCACAGAATTTTCTCAGGAGGAAAATTCTCCTAGCTCTCATTTTCGTCCTAAGAAACAAAATTGCTATTTAAATCTTTTGCATGAGTTCAAAGGCCCATTTTTATATGAGTATCAAAAGCTATCATATAGTAATGCTTTGTTGCCATTCCTGATTCTAGGATCAAATCTATTTACTTTTGGAATCAAGTAGTCTATCTGTTCATCTCAGGCAACTCTTTGTCTTGTCATTCAACTCAATTCAAATTTAATTATTAATATATGCAATTCATATAAAAGGACTTCACGGGCAAAAGAAGATCAGCAACTCAGAAAAAAATCCCTCTCACAATCTTTGCCAAGTATAAGAATCATGATATCCTCCATTTTATTAAAATAATGAAACTTTCTTACTATTCAAATATAGTTGAGAAAAAGATACATTTAGTTATTATTTGTCATTAACACTTAAGCATGAGTTAGATTATCATATTCTATAACTGCAAGAATGATGATAAAGAGGCAATTATTGATGAAAGCAGAAGGTGGAAGAAGGAATAGGCTAGAGTCAGGATTTTCAGGACAGGTTTTCCTCAACAGGCCAGCAGATGCCTGGAATGAGGAGCAGGAAAAAGATGAATTACCAGTATTTTCCAAAGTGTAAAGTGAATGAAAAGAGTGTGTAGGGATGTGGGAGATAGTTGGGGGGAAAAAAAAGTAAGTCACAATTTTACTGGAGCAACTGGCAGTTTTTGAAGATTGTACACCTGAAACAAATAGAGAATGTACAAAAAGCAAAGACTCATTAACAACATTAATTCTTGGGTCACAAGTACAGTTTAAGTATAGTTTAAAGGATTTATTGTATATGATATCATATGAAGATCTTAAATATAGATGTAAAAACTTCTCTGACTAATTTATGCCACAATTATTTTTAGCTTTATACTCTTAAATACAGTAATTAGGATAAACAAATATTCTTTTTACAGGCCCATCTGAAATTATTCAGCAGAGAACACAAATTTATCATTGCATTGATTTCAATCTGGCAAGGAATTGTGTTATTAATTAATTTAGATAATCAACTAAGAAGGATCACTTAGTCTGCTTCCCCCAGGAAAAACAGAATTTATGACTGTGTTACTGCTTTTTAATTCAGAACTGAAGATAAGTAATCTGGACCGGTTTTATGAATAGAAAATGTGACATATCCCTGAATTTAGGGTTGCATAAAAAACATTGTTAAAAGATATGCACATCTGTTTTAAACAAAATCAGTTTGAAATGTGCTCATCTACAAAACAAAAATGGAAATGGTCATGACAGAATTCTCTATTTTACAAATAGACTTATATTAGTATTCATTAAACACCAAACTTCTCAAATTTATTTTTGGAAAATCACAGTACCAATTTCAGATTACTTCCAATTTGGACAAATGTCTCAAAAGTAATATAACAAGGTCAACTTGTACAATGGGAATCCAATCAAACTAAATGTTACCAAGGATTGTGGAAGAAATTATTAATTACCAATATCCTGGCCACTACAGACTTGGCTTTGCTGATTTCTCTTTATTCCCTTACAACCACCCTTGGGTCACCTTGTCCCTTTCCCTCTCACCTCCCTCATAACCTTGGAGTCTTCATAATGTTTATTAATGTCCACTGGTTTTTTATGGGCCCTCCCCCAGGGCACAGCAGATTAGGATGCAGCACTGCAAGCTGGCTGCAGCCACTTCAGTGCAAGTTCGATCCCCGCCCTGGAGGTGACCCACATGTCATGGCAGACCTCTCCTGTCTTGCTCGCTCTCCCTTCAGCAGTGTACTTTGTCGATCTGCCTGTTCTGCTCCCCACTCTGTCTCCGGTGAATCCTCTCACTGCCCCTGCACCTCTGGCCTATACCCCAGTTCTATATGCATAAATAAATAAATCTTTTTTAAAAGTTGTTTTATGTTTTCAGATTGCCTGATCTTCAAATATCCATCATTTGGTTTTATAGTTATGACTTATTTTGCTGTACATTATTCTCTCAAATTCCTTTTGTTGAAAATGGATGTATTTCATCCTTTCTTATCACTATAAAATACTCTGTGGTGTGGTTATTCCACACTTAAAAAAAATGTTTATCATCATTTCTACATAGAATAATGGAGGCTAAAACCCTAATGAAATGCTATCTCAAAC